ATTATTTTATGTTGTTAGATAGCATGAAGTCGTCGTGGCCTGCAGTGTGCTTAATGCGAATTTTTAACGTTCTCGATAGCGTAAAAGTTAACTCAAATTTGTAAGGAGTTGGAACGCTTACCTACGTTTGCCGCTAGGGGCGCTGTTCCAACTGCATACTTTGAGTTAGCTTTTTTGTTTTTTTTCCTACTCAAGCCTTGAGAGGCTATATCAGCGTAATCTAACAATTAGGTGAGCTCATGGAGCTCAAACCTGGCGACGTTGCTAACACTAACCCAGCAAGAGTAGTGCGTCGCAGAATCTACTACCAGAATCGCGACCCACTGGAAAGATCCGGCGAGAAACTCAGTGGGGTAAAGGATAAACGATGCCACTATGGTGTTCGAACTCCGCAGCGAGGTAACAGTATTTTCCAATTAAGCACGTGCATAACTTAAGTTCATGGATGACTTAAACGATGAAGGAATCATCATCATCATTATCATCAGCCCACAGTCGTCCACTGCTAGACATAGGCTCCTCCCAATCCACATCACTGGGCCCAGTCTTCAGTCCTCCTCATCCACTTCTTACCGGTAAGATGAAGGAAGCTTCGTGTAACAAAAAATAAGACCCGAAAATTAAATTACCTAATTACTTTTGGTAGGACGTCTTGTCGGATAGGTACCACCACCCTACCTGTTTCTGCCGCGAATCAGTAATGGATTCCAGTTTGTAAGGTGGGGTAATCGATATACTATAGAACTCAAGGTACAAGTCACAAGGTAGATGGCGGCATTTACGTTGTATTTAGGCTGCGGTAACTACTTAACATTATGTGACCCGTCCAAGCCTTCAAAAAACGTGTTTCTAAGCTCTTAAGGTATAAAATCTAAATTAGCCTCTGTCGGGTTCGAGGTAGAATAACATTCTAAAATGAATAAGAAGATAATTTTGAACCAATCTATTTTTATGAATATTTCATTCCGGGATACAGGCGTTCGTTATAAGATACTGAAGTGTGTATACTTATATATTATAGCATAGTATTAGCATAGCATTTAGTATATAACATAGTTAATAGGTGTAATCTCGTATGTCCCCCTAATAAGGCGGACCACCCAGAAACATAGGCTTCTTTATAATTGTAAACTAGGATTAAGATGATTATTAAACATGGAATACACGCAAGAAGAAGTTTTCCTTTAACGCATCCCAAAGTACAATATTACAATACAATCTTTTTTTTTTAATAAAGAACTTAAACATCTGTCTTACACTTAACTACATAAGTAGGTACGTAATACACGAGTGAGTTAATGCCGATCGACATATGAATTGAACCTGTTTTAAAATTCGATAAACACTTTTAAACGGTGAAGATTTATAAAAAGATTTGCTATGCCTAATGGAATTTACAGGTGTAAAATGTTATTCAAAACTATTGATAGGGAGTATGAGCAAAAACAATATTGTAACAAAAATACGTTACCTACTCTTTTTGTATTTATATAACAAACGTATTGTGAAATTCCTCTTAAAATAGATTGTTAGTAGGTACATTTTTGTTTATTTCTACGATATACTTATGTGACCTCTATACGATTTATCTTAAAAGAGGTTAATATGTTATAAGGATGACATAAATGGAATTTTGAATATTGAAACATTAGAAGAAGGAACATTAGAAATATAAAAGCATTTTGGAATATTGAAATATAAAAAACATTAAAAAGGTGGTGAAGCAATAGCTTTAAATGTTCTTTCTCTTTATAGAGCAACTCAATTTGTGCTATAATTTTACTAGGCAATGAGTGTTTTTACTTTTATTTAAAAAAAATAACACAAACGCCAAATATTTGAAATTTTTGTTAAGGACCCGAGCGGAGCCGGAGTGTACCGTTAGTCTATATATATAAAAAAATGTGTGCGTGTACTAGTGTACACACGTAAGAAGTGAAACTTGTTTATGGCCTTATTTTTCGAAAAATGATCTACATGCAACTTTCTAGAAATTGGTTAAATAAAGTTAAATTAGATAAAGTTTAAACAAAAGGATTTTATTATCATAGACATGAATACAAAAAAGTTAAATTAGATAAAGTTTAAACAAAAGGATTTTATTATCATAGACATGAATACAAAAAAGTTAAATTAGATAAAGTTTAAACAAAAGGATTTTATTATCATAGACATGAATACAAAACAGATGGCGCGTAACGGAAAAAAGTGACGCGTAACCGAAAAATGTGACGGTAAATTTTTTTCCAACGCCGATAAGGAAGTTTCACTTCAAAAAAATTTTTTTTTTCCTTTGATGTGTCCGCCGTCGGACGGATTCCTTTTGTTTATTTTAAGTTTATTTTATACAAAAGTTTACGTCTTTTATTTATCGATTGAGGCACTACGAAGTCTGCCGGGTCAGCTAGTACTTATATAAAGAGTAAACCGTAACACCTAAACTTAAGAGTAAGAGAACAATATTTCTATTGAAACAGACTAGGTTAGTAAAGAGTTAGGCGATTCTCGACTTCTACGAGTTCTTTATCTCGCAGAAGGAGGCGGCGAAACAGGAGAGGGAAAGCTCTTGTGTTACGGTTCTATTTGAGGGGATTGGGTTTGTAGGTGAGATGCTATTTAAAAACACTCTGCTTCGTGGTTAATATAATTATATTGCAAAAACTTTTTACACTGTTACACCATTACAATATTTTATCTATATATTAGATTAGATAGAGATTATAGAGAAGAAGTGCACAATGCTAATATTTTTTTAAAATAATGCATAAAAGATACATTAAATCAATAAAGAAAAAATTACACACACTACCATCTATTTTGATACACACACGCATGCATACTATTTGTTTGTTGTCAAACTTTTCTTTGCAGTCCATCAGTTATAGTCGGTAAAATGGAGAATAGATTAATTATTGTTTTCCCTTTATTAATATTTGTCTAAAGTGTAGTCGTCAAGACGTCACTATTATACAATAGTCCTTGACAATAGAATCATAATAGTGTACAAACTTATAATTTCCATTAGTTATAGTCGAAGTTCGAATACCAGGGGACCTCTAGTTTTTATAAAACCCTAAGATGTTGCACTGTCCTTGTCCGTTACAATTATCTGTTTTAAACGTTTAAATAAGCATTCCAATATTCGAAAACTGTCACTTCACATGTGACCAGTGCTGCCAGCCATTACTTATATATTCAAAACTCCAACAGCTCTTCTTTCGACGTGGTGAGCCAAGAGTCGGAGGAGGACGTTCGCTCAGCTCCGACACCTGTGAGAGGACAGTCTCCTGCTGGTGATGGTCACGAGGGTTCGAAGCTGCGTACTGTTATACCCCCTCACAGTAAGGGATAGTGCTTCGCTGCAGGACTGCCGAATGAAATCAGCAATCTTTATTACTGGTGGTAGGACCTGTTGAGTCCGCGCGGGTGGGTACCACCCTACGAATAAATAATAAGTCAGGAAATGTGACTGCGCTCTAAAAATGACCCAACAAAAGTCGTGTCCAAGTAGGCGGGGCTTAAAAGTCGTGTCCAACGCGTCATCAGTCAGATATTGTTCTTGAAAGCGAGCACACCTGGTGTTAAGTGGTTACTGGAGCCATAGACATCTACAACGTAAATGCGTCACCCACCTTGAGATATAAGCAAATTAGAATTTTGCGGGTTTGACTTTTATTACACGATGTTATTCCTTTACCGTGGAAGTCAATCGTGAGCATTTGTTATGTACGTATTTCATTAGAAAAATTGGTACCCACCTGCGGGATTCGAACACCGGTGCATCGCTTCAACACGAGTACACCGGACGTCTTATCCTTTAGGCCACGACGACTTCAAAAGTGGGTCGGTGGAGCCCTAAAAATATCTTGGACCCGTGATCTGCTCCCAAAATCTGCAGACCGCTAAGTCCCATATCCCGCGTCCTCTCTAGGCGCGGACACCTCTATAATCGGCTCTCTGTCCAAAAAAAATTAAGGTTATATCTTGTGGGAAACAGCCATTATACTATATAACTGTGACCTTATTTCTCCGAGGCTGCACATTTAAGACATCTGGTTGTACCGTGACATGGTCTACCATACATAGCAACAAAACAGTTGTAAAAAAGAACTTTTATTGTTACATTACTAAAGTACTAAAACTATTATCAACGACGACGATTTCCTCCAAAACAAAGATAAAAGGAAATAAAAATTAAAAAAAATTGAGAAACAAACAAGTTCTTAAGATAAATAGAAGTCAGTCAAATACTTCTCCTTAATTATAGGTTGAATTGTTAATGAACACACAACTTGACATTGAAAACAAGAAAAACACGCATAAAACCAAAATTATGGAAACAAAATCGCTGGACATGGCTTTTTTTGTTTTTACTGAAAGGTTATTTAATTTCACCTCATTCAACACCTACGGTGTTGTCTTACCTCATCTGATTTAATTACAGTTGATTTCAGTATATAATCAATTTCATTTCAAACATATTTAAGTTCTTTTTTAAATATTTTTTTCATCTAATAGCAAGAATTTGGCCTTTGTCATAAAAGATGTGATTTGTGGTCAGTGTTTCCATTGCCTGTTTTTCGGTCGAAGAAGAAAAAGTAAAAAGGAAAATTTTATATAAATAAAAAAGAATTTTTGGCGGGAACACGAGGAGCGAAGTTGTGTGAATTATTTTATTTTGGATGTTTTTAATATATTTTATTTATTATTATATATTATGTAATTTGTAATAAGTAATAACATTGGTTTATTAACTGCTTATTAATTGTAAAGGTGCACATATGTGGGAAAATGAAACAAAGCCGCTGGACGTAACTTCTCTGGATCCTCCAAAAAGTCCACCATTTTACTGAGATTATATTTCATCCGATATCATCTCATATAATTTCATGTGACTACATTTTATTTCATTTCATAATATCATTTTTCATATAAAAAAATATATAAAAGATAGGCTGTATGGTATGATATCTTTGCCTTTCCAATTGGAAAAATAAAACTGCTGCTACTTGTTTTGTTTTATCACTTAATTCACATAAAAACAAGTGTATTAAATGTATTGTGAGTGTACTAATTATGCGTATTACGTAGGTACCTACATTGAACAAAAAATTTCCGAGTTCTGTGTGAATAATTCTTAGTTTGGAAGTTGCTTTTAATTATTTAAAACGTATATTAGTTCAAACTACAAAATGCCTATAAAAGGTTTAAAAGTTCTACCTAATCCGTAAGTACCTACATCATTTTGTTTATCTGAACATCGTATGATATCATGTTGTGGTGCAGTAGGTCGAGGCTATATTGTTCCCTGCGTAATCGCCGGTAGCCTAAGGCGATATTCCAACTTAATTTTACTGGTGGTAAGACCTCTTGTGGGTCCGCGCCTTTTTTTTTTATCCTACCTAAGCTGGTAGCCTTGAGAGGCTATTCCAGGGGAACCTTAACTAAGTAGGTGAGCTCACGGGGCTCAAATCTGACGAAGTTGCTAACACGAACCCTAGCAAGGGCCGTGCTTCGCAGAATCTACCACCGGATCGGAAACACGACCCACTGAGGAGATCCGGCGAGAAACTCAGTGGGCTGTGTCTGAGGTCCTGCCTATTTTTGCCGTGAAGCAACAATGCGTTTCGGTCTGAAGGGTAGGACAGCTGTTGTAACTATACTGAGATCTTAGAACTTATATCTCAAGGGGGTGGCGCATTTACGTTGTAGATGTCTATGAGCTCCAGTAACCACTTAACACCAGGTGGGCTGTGAGCTCGTACCCATCTAAGCAATAAAAAAAAACCGCACCATTTTGTGGGAGAGTTCACGAGACTCAACGTAGAGCTGTTGACTCTGAAAATTGCAACCTGAAATCTGCATAAAAATTCTGATCGAACTGATCAATGTAACGACTTTAAAGTTTTGAACTGATCTGACTTATGCTTGGTATTCAAGTATGTTCCTGGTACTAAAACTGGAAAAGATACTACTAGCTCAAGAGAAAATTAAAAATAGTAGCTTGGGTTACTCACTGTGCAATATGTATTGATTAATGATATGTTTTTGTAACTACATATTTATTATATGTGAAAAATTTTAATGTTTCATTTGAGATATACATATCTCCTTGTAAATATGTTTTTTTTTTTATTTCCTTTGTAGACAAAGTAAGTCTACACGGCCCACCCGATGGTAAGTGGTCACCGTCGCTCATGTACAACACCTATACTAGGGGCCTAGACAAGCCACTTATTACTGTTGAGGACTTCTCAGGCTCATTTGAAGAAAGACATATCATACTCCTCGGAAAAAACTGAAGGGGTCTTCATTCCCACTGTGGATGAATACAGTAGCTCCTGACAATATGAATAAACAGGTCCGATCTCAGGTGGTTGTGTGAGAGGCCCTACCTGAAGCCAATAACCAGAGACTGCTTATCAAACTCAGCATAATTACTTATATTACTAATAAGCTCTATTATTATAACTTAGATGTATTTTATAGAGTGTTCTCAGAGCTGCCACAGAACTACAGGCTGTCGGAGGAACAAAAATCATTCTATTGGGAGAATGGGTATCTAGTAATAAAGGAATTAATTGATTTCACTTCATTATATAGTTACAAGTGGGTAATATTTATTGTATATAATTTCTATTAAGCATAGTTAAATCAAAACCTTTGGCTGTTGTATGATGTTATATAATGATTATTTATTAATAGCAAATGAATGTGTGAATAGCATACATATATCAATATATTTATTGAGTACATGAAACACATTCATTTGCTGAACTGGTCACCGTCATCGTCGAACCCGTCGCTTGCGACGAAGGGCTTGACGAGCAAACTAACCCATAGACACAGCCCACTGAGTTTCTCGCCGGATCAGAAGATCAGACTGAGAACAGTGGGTCGCGTTTCCGACCCGGTGGTAGATTCTGCGACTCTGCGACACTGCTCTTGCTAGGGTCAGTGTTAGCAACACTCCGGCTTGAGCCCCGCGAGCTCACCTACAAACGTTAGAGCGAAGCTGAAATAGCCTCTCAAGGCTATCAGCATAGGTAGGAAAAAATATATTGCTGTAACTATTTATTTTATCTTTATTGTGACATGAACCAAAGCTTGTGATATTGCTCCAATGAACAATGGTCTGAATGTGTGATGGCTATCTACCATACATATATTGCCGCTCATCTATCTACATACATATATTGCAATCCCAGAGATAATTTTCTTTTTTTATTGCACTTACAGTTCAATGCACAAACTTATCATTTTAATTGGATGCCAGAGTTCATAGACATCACACATCTGTTTTCTCGTCTAACTCGAGTTCGAAGATTTCAACGAGCAAACTAAACCATAGACACATCCCACTGAGTTTCTCGCCGAATCTTCTCATTGAGTCGTGATTCCGATCCGGTGGTGGATTCTACGAAGCACTGCTGTTACTCGGGCTAGTGTAAGCAAATTCTCTTAGGCTTAGCCCGTGAGCTCATCTAGCCGTTCGAGTATAAGTGGAATAATAGCCCCTTAGACTACCAGTGAATAGGTAGAAAAAAAAAACTCACAAATCTGATTTTTAAGTGAGTGCTCACAATACTACCAGCTCATGCATTTCCAACTGCAATTAGTTGTTTTTATTTATTCAGACAGCGCTTTCTACAAATATGCAAAGGAATAGTTGACAGCCCCGTTATGATTGTCAAAGAACAGGCACTTTTTGAGAAGAACTTAAAACCTGAAGAATACATTAATAAGGTAACCATAGAAATTATAAATGTTGTAGAGCTCTATAAACTTGAAACTAATATTGTTAAAAAAGTATTTAATACACCAAAAGATTAATAAATATAAACCCAAGACTAAACAGAAGCATATCCATAAGTGTGACGTAGCTTAGGAATGGCAAAACATTTTTTTAAACCTTATCATTGTGGATGTGATTCCTAGTCACCCTCATGGACAGACTATTTTCCTCACTTACCTTGAAATGTGAAATATCAGTCTCACTTTTAATTAAATAACAGCTAATAACAAATTATGAGCCCTCATAGACACCGAACCCTCTAAATGTGATGAGCAACAATTGAAATATAAACTTTTTCAGCTCCAAGAAATCTTATACGATGATGTGTTCATGACCTATGGTGAACATCCCAGGCTATTGGATGTGATCTCACAGTTCATTGGTGATGACATAACGGCTATTCACAGCATGTTCATCAACAAACCCCCGGGTACCGCCAGACATCCGCCGCACCAGGTGAATATTGAATAGGCCCTTGAGTGACCCCTACATTTCCATAATGATATGTTACGGTAATTGTACACTTTTACCGGTAAGTATGCGCATTTGTCAAAAAGTTAGGTATATGTAAACTGAATATAATATATATGTACATTTCCCGGAAAATGTGTATTCTTGCCTTTACGTTTTGGTAAATGTATACTCTTACCTTCTATCATGTTTTAAGAAAAGTTCAGTAAATACAAATAAATTAATAATGTTGTTGCAGTAAAAAAATATTTATTTAAATAAACATAATACAAAATAACGGTTTTAATAACGAAAATTATTTTAATAAAAAAAATGTAAATGACAAACAAAACATACTTTTCTCTGCATATTATATAATATGTCGTAAGTTAGGTTGTAGTGGTGCGCACCACATTACTAGCACTTGCGATTTTGTATTTTGTATCTCATGCTCACATTTACCAAAACAACACGGTCATTGTGAATTCAATGTACATTTCCCTTCTTTGAAATTATAAATGTTAGTTGAATGCGCATTACCCAAACGAGGAGACAAGTGTGCATATTAACCGGAAAATGTGTACATTTAACGCAATATCTACTTTTACCGTAACATATACACAAGTAAAGCTCATACCCCTTCTGCAGTATAACCTCAGAGATTCCTTTTAACATGATTATAGATTGATCACCTACCATCATGCGATGACATCAAATATGAATGAAATGAGTCTACACAAACAAGTTTATACAAGCTTTGTTGACTATTTAGAAAAAAAGTATTGAAAGTACTTGAAGGGGAAACCGCAATATATTGAACTTCCAATAACTAGAAGCATTTCAAATAAAAATCATATTTAATGTCCATAAATATTTTCAGGATTTATTTTATTTCCCGATCAGACCTGTGGATAAGATCATAGGCTCATGGACTGCCGTGGACCATGTCAATAAGGATAATGGCTGTCTGTATGTCATTCCAAAGTCTCATAAGCAAGATATTCTATACCCCCATGGTGATGTGCCGGTGAGTTGAAAGTTAGGGAGTTGGATTTATTTGTGAGACCAGAGACCAATAATAGATTGGGAACAAAATATCTGTAGGGTTCACACATTTAAAGGTTAAGGTGAGAGGGAGAGAGAAAGTATGATACAATAGATGTTCAAGGAGAGAAGTGGCAAGTTGCCTGGCTGTTGGCACAGCAATGCTGTCTCTATGAGCCGGAGTCACATACGTATCTTCTGATTATTATGGCAGTTGTGATAAATAAATAGAGATTACATTAATAAATGCTGCATGCACTGCATTAATAAATAGAAAAAATCAATTTGTATTTTTGTAGACTATTCCGACTAATGTTGGCCTGGTGATCATATTTTTACAATTGTTTTTTTTTACAACAATAAATCAATAATAAATATAAAAAAAAGAAACTCGACTGACGAGTAACGAAGACAGCCTTGTATTGTAATATTACTGTGCAGGTGCAGTCCACAGACATCACTATCAAGTCTCATTTGTATATAACCGCTGTGTGTGACATTACTTCTACAGCGGTGTTTCCCAACGTGGGGCCCACGCTCCACAAAGGGGCAGTTTGATAATTAAGGGGGGCAATTGCACTAAATTAATATAGAAAATCTGTATTCAAATTATTTTGAATTTCACTTTTTTTTATATGTTTTGAAATATTGTTTACTGTTTTGATAAAAATTTCATAGTGATTTCTTTCTAAAACTGATCATTTATGTTTCTTATGTGAACAAATTATTATTTTTATGTTTGGGGCGCATACAAATTTAAAAGCGTTACAGTGGGGAATGGCATAAAAAAAGGTTGGGAAACACTGGGGAACATCGGCACATATAATATGTACGATTTTTTTTTATTTTTTATTTATACATCTGATTCTACATTAAAGGATCATATTATTATATGGATTTTTTTCACGAACAGTTTTTTTTCTAGTTTGAAATTGTTTTCAATTTAAAAATGAAGAAGTTAAACTGGAATACGTAAATAAATATTTCATCATTTAGAGCAGCGGTCGGGGAACCGGGGTAAATTACCCCAAATGGGGTAAAATGAAATTTTGGGGGTTAAAAATGAAACTTTTGTGAGTAAAAAGTATATATTGAAGTGAAACTTCTTTAGAATCGTTGTGATTTCAAACTCGATGAAACGAAATGAAACGAAAAAATATATTTTTTCTTTTTCAAAATTATCACGCGGGCTATAATATGAAAGATGCTAAAAAGAAGCGATTTAATTTTTTTTTGTTCTTCGCCATGGGGTAATATCAACTTACACAAAAATATTTTGGGGTAATAATTAAAAAAGTTCCCCGACCGCTGATTTAGAGCGAGACAGATTCTATATATATAAAAATGAATTGCTGTTCGTTAGTCTCGCTAAAACTCGAGAACGGCTGGACCGATTTGGCTAATTTTAGTTTTGAATTATTTGTGGAAGTCCAGAGTATTTTTAAAAGATAAATATGAAAATGCTCGGAATTAAATAAAAATAACAATTTTGTTTTCCCTTTGACGTGTCCCCCGTCGGACGGATTCCTTTTGTTTGTTTCAAGTTTATTTTATACAAAAGTTTAGGTCTTTTATTTATCGATTGAGGTACTACGAAGTCTGCCGGGTCAGCTAGTCATCAATAATAAACAAAATTTTCAGGAGGCCGGTAAACTGTACCACGGGATTTTGAACGAAGAGACGCTCGCCCGGGAGCACGCCCGTGTCTCCCTGGACATGGCCCCCGGGGACACCGTGCTGCTGCACCCGCGCCTGCTCCACGGCTCCGGACCCAACCGCACCCAGGTACACACCCGGCCCGCCGCACCCACTGTAGCCCGGGACAGTCGTCGTGGCCTAAAGGATAAGACGTCCGGTGCATTTGTATGTAGCGATGCACCGGTGTTCGAATCCCGCAGGCGGGTACCAATTTTTCTTAATGAAATATGTACTTAACAAATGTTCACGATGGACTTCCACGGTGAAGGAATAACAAAATTATAATTTGTGTAATTACTGGTGGTAGGACCTCTTGTGAGTCCGCACGGGCAGCTACCACCACCCTGCCTATTTCTGCTGTGAAGCAGTAATGCGTTTCGGTTTGAAGGGCGGGGTAGCCGTTGTAACTTTACTTGAGACCTTAGAACTTATATCTCAAGGTGGGTGGCGCATTTACGTTGTAGAAGTTCTATGGGCTCCAGTAACCACTTAACACCAGGTGGGCTGTGAGCTCGTCCACCCACCTAAGCAGTTAAAAAAAAAACTTAAAGGTCTTAGTTACCAGGTCATAATATCCCCACAAAAAAAATAATTCTTACACAATTTTTAATTCAAATTTATTAAAAAAAAAAATCTATTTTTTAGTTGGATTTTCTATAAAAGTATCTTTTTTTGTTTTTTTAAACTATTATTTATTTTTCATTTTTCATTTGAAATTTAATTTAAAAAAAAAATTTTTTTAATTTTTTCAAATTTTTTTTTTATTTTAAATTGTCGTCGTTCCTTAATAAGTATACCAAATATCGAGTTAATCCGACGTTTTGAAGGGGGTCAAAATCATTTTCAAAGATTCCGTTACATACACACATATTATATACGTCTGAAGCTAATAAGAGCGTATTAAAAAGGCAGATGCAGTATATCCTCACGTTTGTCGCACAGCGCCACCGGAAGGCGATCACGGTGCACTTCGCGAGCAGCGCGTGCGAGTACGTGGACGTGCGCGGCTCCGTGCAGGAGCGCCTCGCCGCCGACGTGCAGGCCGCCGCCACCCGCCGGGGACTCCGAGTCAGCTACCAGGTGCGCGCGGGGGGACCACACTTAAACGAATCATAATCATGTTCCTAACATTGCTGAAGTCCATGGGCGACGATAACTACTCACCATAAGGTGGGCCGCATCGTCTGCCTAAAAAAGCAATACAAAAAAAACACGTATGGCACTCAGGGGACTGATGCGGTAAAGCAATGGCATTTTTCATAATTTAATATTAAAACAATAATAAAATAAGACCACGCTATATTTATAAACATTAACAAAAGCAAAACGTGAACTGTCCCCTTCACACTCAAAAGATAGAGCGCGCGAGAGAGAGATGGGTAGACTTTTCATGATGACGTCACGCTGCGCGCTTATTCACAAACACTACACAAGCGCAACGTGTGAACGTGTTGAACGCGAGCTACATGGTAGGCGGAGTGGGATGCTAGGTTTTATTTTCGTTACAGAATTTCTTGATTCGGTCGCCGTGCTCAAAGCACAAAAACTAAGCAATAGCTTAACAAACAAAATAAATCGACCCCTTTTTTCCTATCTATTCTAGCAACCTCAATGGGCTATTCTAGATTCACCGAACTAGTAGGTGAGCTCACGGGGCTCAAACCGGGAGTGTTGTAAACACTAACCCTAGCAAGAGCAGTGCTTCGCACCTACCTACCACCTATTTACCACTGGATCGGAAACGCGACCCACTGAGAAGATCCGGCGAGAAACTCAGTGGGCTTGTAAATCGACCAATGAATACTTTTTATTCGCTAAAAATCAAAACATGGTCGGATGTCGGTATTAAATATGTTATCGTTAGACCCGACATGAGCTTTGAGGTTTTATTTTATATGTATTTAAAATTTACAAAAACCTTTTTAATAGACACCGTGCTCAATTAATCAATTCAAATCAGATAGACCGGCATGTCCGGTGGTGTCAAATCATAAATAAAAAACAATCAAACATCACCCATGTTAATATGTTTCTGGTTTTCAGGACATCTGGAAATACAAAAGTAAACAAGTCAAAGGTGTGAGATCAAATTTGTAAGCAATACATTAAGAAATTTATATTTTTATACGGAAGAGATTATTTTAGACTAGCTAGTTGTATTAAAGCTCCATCTATCGTGTCTCGGACATCTTGTGAGCACGTAACATCAGATAGACCGCGCGATCGTCTGCCGCACTACAAGCAACCAAAACTTGCATGCTTACAACTGTGGTGGATAGATGGCGCTGTAATAGAAAAAGTTATTAGATGGGCACATTCAATCATGTAAGGAGGACCGCGCGGTCATCTACTGCATTACAAGCAACGAAAACTTGCAAGATTACAACTGGGCGGATAGATGGCGCTGTAATAGGTTATTAATCGGGTACATTGTAACATTTTGTTTTTGTAACAGAATCTATGCTATTGTTATTAAATGGGTTTAATTAATGATTGTAAAAATATATTATATTAGTTTTGGGACGGAACTGTACTGTGATCGTGTTAAAGTTATGTAATAAAGAAATATATGTGTATATAACAAAGTTGTTTTAATTTGGGTATTCCTGTTTGGGCAACGAGATTCGGTATTGTCGCCCCACCGTCTGTTGCTTGGAAGCCGACCTGCCGCTCAAACCGGCTTACTGTTCGATTGCATACAGTTGTGTGCTTAGTGCGAGTTTCTTAACGTTCTCGATAGCGTAAAAGTTAACCCAATTTTGTATGCAGTTGGAACAGCGCCCCTAGCGGCAAACGTAGGCAAACGATCCCATTCCATACAAATGTGAGCTAACTTTTACGCTATCGAGAACGTTAAAATAAAAACTTCAGAGGTGTCAAGGGACACCCGGATGGAACAAAAGTTCCTTTCGATTAATTAGTGAAGGAATTGTAATTTTTTTTTAAAGTTATAATAATAAATTACGGCATTATGAAGAAGAAAAAAACAATACTATGAACTAAATTCGGGTTAAAGATATTTTTTATTCTCAAAAGAATTACATAAATTCACATAAATGAGAACAATAAAATAGTTATAATTAATTTAGATCGTGCAGTACATGACAATAATTTATGGTAACAACATGCGGTGCTATGACAATATATTTAACAAAAACTATAAAGATTATTATTTTCTTAAAATGTATAAAGAGGGTAGATTACCACAGAAGCAAGGTAAGTACAACGATCGCCTCGACCAGCCGCCGGCCGNAACAACATGCGGTGCTATGACAATATATTTAACAAAAACTATAAAGATTATTATTTTCTTAAAATGTATAAAGAGGGTAGATTACCACAGAAGCAAGGTAAGTACAACGATCGCCTCGACCAGCCGCCGGCCGCTCGGTGGCGGGTAGATATTGACGCCACAAGGAGCTAGTTCGCATGGATGTGGCATTGGTAAAATGTTTGCAGGTTATTAGTTTCGTTGTTTTTTCATTTCATGGTTTAATTATTATTTGTTTATTATTTGTTTTGATACATTGTATGATTTTATGTGCATTGCATGATTGAGTTTTGTGTAAGTATGTAGGATTAAGATTAACAAATAATATTATGTAGTATGTTTACAATAGTTTTCTTAGGTTTATTGTAAATTACTATTGTTGAAACGCTATCTCGAGAAACTGTACTCATTACGCGAACCAATCGGATACGAGCAATGTCACGCGATAAGCGCCTACACGTTGATTGGTCAGAATGACGGATCTAAAAAGGTCGTGACAACTTTTCGTAAGAATTTTTTCCGTCTAGCCCCCTTTCACAACGCGCGATAAGGAACTTCGTTCCAACTCGCACTAATCACACTGGTCCTGTTATGTTAACATGGCTTATGTTGCAAGCCAGATTTTGTTTCTTTTTAATACGCTTTTATTAGCTTCAGACGTATATATGTTACGGAATCTTTGAACATGCATTGACCCCCTTCAAAACGGATTAACTCGAAATTTAGCATACTTATTAAAGACCGATGACAATTCAATATTTAAAAAATATAAATTTAGCTAAAAAATAAAAAATAGTTTAAAAAAAAACCAAAAAAATACGCTTTTGTAGAAAATCCAGCTAAAAAATAGAAAATAAATTTTAATGAATTTGAATTAAAAATAGTGTAAGAAAAAATGATTTTATTGTAAAAAAGCGTGGGGTGCTTTTCAGGATATTATCAAAATAATCCTTCTACTCATATCTGTTCATAAAATATTTATAACTACTGATACCATGCACCCCACGCTTTTTTATTTTCTATTTTTTAGTTGAATTTTCTATAAGAGCGTATTTTTTTAGTTTTTTTAAACTATTATTTATCACTTGTGTTTTTTATGTATATTTTAAGCTTGTAATGTGTATTATATGCCTATTAAATAAATTAAAAAAATCCCGCGAGTCGACGACCCTCACTGAACCACCGGTAGCAGTGTAGCGGACGGTCCATGCCACCGACCTTTTGTTTTTATTGCTTAGATGGATGGACGAGCTCACAGCCCACCTGGTGTTAAGTGGTTACTGGAGCTCATAGACATCTACAACGTAAATGCGCCACCCACCTTGAGATATGAGTTCTAAGGTCTCAAGTATAGTTACAACGGCTGCCCCACCCTTCAAACCGAAACGCATTACTGCTTCACGGCAGAAATAGGCAGGGTGGTGGCACCCATCCGTGCGAACTCACAAGACGTCTTGCCACCAGGAATTACGAAAATTATAATTTTACAGGTTTGATTTTTATTACACGATGATATTCCTTCACTGTGGAAGTCAACCGTGAACTTTTGTTAAGTACGTATTTCATTGGAAAAATTGGTACCCGCCTAAGATTCGAACACCGGTGCATCGCTATACACGAATGCACCGGACGTCTTATCCTGTAGGCCACGACGACTTCAATTTATATTTGTTTTCAAATCTAGTTAGTTTTTTTTTTACGTTACTGCTTTAAAACTTTCCAGTACTGTTAGTGTAATCATCATTCCATCGCTCAACGAGATAAAAAATATTAAATAGTTATCCCTCTTGTTAATTATTTATTTAAATCGTATCATACTTAATTAACAAAAAATAATTTTACTAAATGTGAAACTTAATTAATTATTATCTATATATTAATACGTGAAGCAAAAACTTTGTATCCCTTTTTACGAAAATTGCGCGGACGGAGGAGTATGAAATTTTCCACACTTACAGGGAATATAGAGAAGAAGTGCTAATATTTTTTTTAAATAATGCATAACAGATACCTTAAACCAATAAAGAAAATATTACGCACCCTATCATGTACTTGATACAACACATACATAAAAATATACTCTTTGTTGACTGTCAATTGGGAAACTTTTATTATTGTTTAAAATCTGTGGTCGAATTGAAAATATGTAGATTAATATTATTTGTCATTAATATTATTAATCTATAGTGCAGTTTTGGCGAATACTGTGATAATATTATCGAATAATATAATAGTGTTTGATATTGTCAACCATAATAATGTTTAAACTTATAATTTCAATTAATTATAGTCGAATCTCGACTACCGGCTGCTAGTAATTATTATTTTTCACTGTGGCCTTGATGGTTGGCGTTTTAAGATGAAGCCCCATCGCGTGCGACTGTTTGTAAGTGCTGTCACGGATTGAAACCAACTCATGCCGGGCTCACTGATGCGTGCAAGCTCATCCTATTGTTAGCGCGATTCAGGTTTTCGTAAAAATATCTTCCAAAAACTAAAATTGTATTATGCAATAATGTGGAAGGCTTTAGAGGAAGGGTTGCCACCACCCTGCCTATTTCTGCCGGGAAGCAGTAACGCGTTTCGGTTTGAATGGTGGGGCAGCCGTTGTAACTATACTGAAGACCTTAGAACTTATATCTCAAGGTGGGTGCCGCATTTACAATAAAATCATTTTTTCTTACACTATTTTTAATTCAAATTTATGGTACCTAGAGCACTCATATCTCTCAAATATATTAAGTGTATAATCTATGCTCATATCTCAAGGTGGGTCGCGGCATTTACGTTGTATCTCTATGGGCTCCAATGACCACTTAACACCAGATGGGTTGTGAGCTCGTCCACTAATCTAAGCAATAAATAAAAAAGGTAAACTTAAGAAAAAATGGATGGATTTCGTGAAAGAAGATACGTGTAAGAAAGAGTGAGGGAAGAAATGGCATATGATAGAAGAGTATGGAAGGAGATGACATGTTGCGCCGACCCCAGGTGACTGGGAGAGGGACAGGAGAATGATGAACTAAAATTGTATTATGCATTATTAAGGATAGCTCAAATTGAAATTTGCATTAGTAAGGATGACTCAAAATGGAATGACAGAGAAGCACTAGCTAAAACAAAAAGGGTGCGTGTACTTATGTACGCGCGTAAGAAGTTATACTCTATTTTGAAGTCGTCGTGGCACGTTAGACCGGCCGCCTGCCTGACGTCAATCCTCCTTGGGAATGCTTTTGTTGACCTTGGGCCGAGGTTTTATTGGCTTTGGTCTGGCTTTGGCTGTTAGTCGCCTTCTACGACACCCATGAGCTAAGTTTGGGTTGGGGGTATTCTTAGGCGCCCACCACACGTTAATTATATAAATTGGCAAAAATCTTATTTTGCAAATTGAATAATGGAATAATCTTATCAAATTAGTGTATTGTCATCGGTCCTCGATAAATCTACAAAGTTTGAATGAATTCTGGCCGTTTAAAGTGGGTCAAAATCGCGTCTAAAGGAGTCAGCTACAAACATACAAACATACATACAAGTGAAGCTAATATAAAGCCTGTAAAAAAATCCGAGATATTAAACAAAAATATACAGTCCAATTGATTAACCTCTTATTTTTTTTTAAGTCTATTCATGCTATTTTTAATTCGAAGCTCCGTTCCGTGAAATTATTTTATTAAAATATTTCGTTCATTTCTTACGTATCCACCGTCCAGATCAGGCTACTGTTACAAACACCTTGACGTGTGTATAATAAAAGACAAAACAACAATAATTAAATGTTTTAATATTAATGAAACTAAGCGAAACAGAAATATCATTATAAATTTTGGATAAGTGTTTTTTTTTTTTTTAAATATTGCAAAATACTAACCGTTCTGAAATAAATTTGAAGAATGAATTACAAAAGGATTTCACCGAAATAGTGAGTACATATTTGAATGTATTATTTCTGTGTTTTGAGTATTGTGTTCCAAATTATTGAGTTTGATTCGAACTGATATGTGTGTATATGTTTGTGGATATATATTTAATTCAATCAATAGGTACACCGCGTGAAATTAGTTAGTACTAAAGTTTACCCTTAGTCAAATCGTGAATCCAGCTGATCAGCTTAGAGTCTTGACTAAGGAGTGTGTTTAAATCTCGGTCAGCCTTCGGGTGAAGTGACGTAGCATAGTGAAATTACTTGTTAATTACATAATAATGATTAACATGTTTTTTTGCAATATGAACTGCTCTACTTTTGTGGCGAAGAATGATATAAATCGCAAAAGAACATTCTTATTGACGAGAAATATTTAAAGACAATTTTTTACCCGAGATTCGTGTACTGTGGCTGAGGCGTGATTTAGAAAACTTTATTGCCATTAAATGGAAATAATTCACCGTTGTCCATCGGCATCAGCAATTCTAGGACGCAGGCAGATCAGTGGGTCCGATTGATGACTGTCCACAATCTTCGTTAGGATAAAGATATGTCATATCGCTCAGGGAGGGGAGTTTGTCGCAAAGCTGGACGGTACATAGCAAACATATATAAGCTAACTGGAATATAGGATATCATTTAAGGTATAAAATACCTGAAAGCGTGCTCTACTTCCGTGGCAGGTGGTGTGGTGGTAAATAGGAGGGGACGGGATTATCTCAAACCTTAAATTCGTCCTCAGAGCACTCCTCGTAAAAAGGAATGTACGAAACGCATAAAGAACTGATATCCTCCCGTGTGCTCTGAGGAATTGTTCGAGATGATATCGTCATCTCGTTTTTACCATCGCACCGCCCGCCACCGGAGTAGAGTTCATCCATACTACCTGGAGCCTCTACGGTCATCCACAGTGTGTTTCCAGAGGTCTTTTTTGCCACGTACCATCCGGCTTTGGAATGAGCTCCCCTCCACGGTGTTTCCCGAACGCTATAACATGTCTTTCTTCAAACGAGGCTTGTGGAGAGTATTAAGCGGTAGGCAGCGGCTTGGCTCTGCCCCTGGCATTGCTGAAGTCCGTGGGCGACGGTAACCACTCACCATCAGGTGGGCCGTAAGCGCGTCTACCTACAAGGGCAATAAAAAAAAAAGAAGACCCAGCTTAGAAAGACTGACTGCCAATGGCATAGTGCGTCAATCAGATTTCTCCCTAGCATTGCCTGGCTTCTAAGATCTCTCTGGGATGTTAGGATTCCGGAGTCTCCTTCCGTCAGACCAGCGCTGAACAACAATTTTTTTTAGGTAGGACCTCTTGTGAGTCCTCACGGGTAGGTACCACCATCCTGCCTATTTCTGCCGTGAAGCAGTAATGCGTTTCGGTTTGAAGGGCGGGGCAGCCGTTGTAACTAGGTATATTTGAGACCTTATATCTCAAGGTGGGTGGCTCATTTACTTTGTAGATGTCTGTGGGTTCCGGAAACCAAGAAAGACAACGATCGATTGATACGACACGGTCCAACATCGGTTTCAGAAGCATTTTATCCTTTGCAGTGTATCATCAGCAGAATATAAGCTGACGAAACAACAAAAACAGTTTTATGAGGAGAATGGCTACTTGTTATTCAGAAACCTGTTCGAATCGACCAGCTTAGACCGTTACAGGTTTGTATGTCACACGTCACATTGTCCACCGGTGTGCTTAGTGCGAGTTTTTTAACGTACTCGATAGCGTGAAAGTTAACTCAAATTTGTATGGAGTCGGAACGTTTGCCTACGTTTGCCGCTCGCTAGGTGCATACAAATTTAAGTTAACTTTTACGCTATCGAGTACGTTAAAATACTCGCACTCAGCACACTGATATTTTTTTGCGAAAAAAAGCCTTAACACAATTTCATTAAAAACTACTTTTACGCGTTTAACCTCCCGTTTTCTCGGTCACGGTCGACTGAGACCGAAAACATGAATAATGACTTGAATGAGATCTTTAATAGTCTTAGTTAGGCCAAACACTCGCGAAAACCGAACAAAATTCTAAATCAAATAAAAGGAAGATTTCTATGGACTCCAGTAACCACTTAACACCAGGTGGGCTGTGACCTCGTTCACCCACCTAAGCAATAGAAAAAAGCTCGGTAGTTAATAAATACGCGAGTTTGATATTAAGAGGTTTATATTACAAAAAGATCTCCCTATAATTTATCTACATTTGTCCCTAGTAACTTACACATTAATTGTACTCGATTTTTACCTATTTAAGCAATAAATAAAAAAAGATCTTCCACCCAGCCGGTGGAGTTACTCGGTAGAGCGACGTTCCGAATGTTATTGCTAGGAACTTGTATATATGCAAGGGCGGATCCAGCTTTGGCGCCAGGAGGGGGTCACATAGTCAAATTTTCGATGCGCTCGTTCCCAAACGCTTGCCATCATACAAAGTTATTATATAATATTAAATTAATTAAATATTGAAGGTATGTAGTTACATAAAATCTGAATAGTGACAAAGTATATAAATAAAATCATTAGGTTCAATTAGTGGTTCACCTAAGTCCTGGAACCAGCTCAGGGGGGGGTCATGACCCCATGACCCCCCCCCCTGGATCCGCCGTTGTATATATGCAAGCTCATCTTCTTATCGGCCTATCAAGCATACGGTCTTCTACATTAGAGACGGTAGGAGAGGCATGTCGCCTCGAACGAGACAGAACTCAACAGAGGCAGGCAAGGGACAAGGTATTTTTTCCTACCCATTCTAGTAACCTCAAGGGGTTATTCTAGATTCACCGAACTAGTAGGTGAGCTCTCAGCGCTCAAACCGGGAGTGTTGCTAGCAAGCCTAGAGCCTAGCAAGAGCAGTGTTTCGCAGAATCTACCACCGGATCGGAAACGCGCCCCACAAGAAGATCCGGAGAGAAACTCAGTGGGCTGTGTCTATGGATTAATTTACTCGTCGAGCCCTTCGTCGCAAGCGACGGGTTCGACGAACACGGTGACCGGTGCTTGTGGTACCTAAAAGCACCATTAATGGATGGGGAGGATCCGTAATGACGCGCTTAGGGCGACGTCGACTGTTTATCATTCGGTCCACCGGAACGGATATGAGACAAGGTAAGGAAATAAGGTGCCGAGTGCAACTCTCGTCGCCATCACAACCACCCCCACGGAACACCGAACATCCGAAGCCCTAAGTGAGGGCACCTCGGCTACCCCGCTGGTAAACATGCAAACCGTAAGGCTTCACAACGTGCCTTTGTTTTAGGAAAAGATTTTCCGAATTATGTCATCAACCAGAAAAGGTAACGATTATCAAGGAGAACTCTTTAGTTAGCGCCAAGAAGACTCCTGAAGAATACGTTTACAAGGTAAGACATTCAATACTGTTACCATATTTATTATCAAAATCATATCAAAGAACAATGGCAGCTTTCTATACAACATTTTACCTGATATCTATTTGAGGTGTCTTGAAATAAAAAAAATGCTAAAACGATAGGAATAACATAGTTTAATCTTAATCAGAAATATTTTTGTTATTAGAAAGTCACAAAAAAAAAGATATTAACGTGTTTATTTTATAATTTGAGGTTATCTATCAACATTAGATGTCTGACTTTTGTAGGCACGGACTATAATAAATTGAAAAAATAACTATAATAAATTGAACGATATGTTTAAATAACATCTTTAGTTTCATTATCATAGATGAACCAAGGATACACTTCTAATAGTACTCGAGTAGGTACCCTTAGCAATTGCAGAGCTACCTAGGTACATATACATATTAATATGTAGTTTGTTCTTACTTCTTTGTAAATGTGTAAAAATGTATGTCAGAGATAGGTACTTTTAGCCTTTTGAACGCCAGTCACATATTTGCGACAAACGAAGGCTTGCAAAGCTAATTTATTAGAATAGACTATAGAGTCAGTTGTCATACTGTTAAAATCATTGTCATCTGCAGTGCTGCGATTACTATTATGTATTTATTTAAGTATGTACTAATTGTAACAAAGGATAATTAATATTACCATTTATCATTTTAAATACTTTATGAAAATATTTATCACAAAATACTGCTTTTTTGTGGCAATAAGATTAGTGCCATCCTTTATAAATGTATTAAACCGGAAGTACACAAAAATCGAATTAAATTAATATTTTTTCGTGGTTTTGCCACGTAAATCTAACATCGTATAAAAAACGAGCAAATAAAATAATTAAATTTCGTTTATCTCTTAAACTATGACGCCTTTTCAAACATTCAGGTAAAAAATTGCCATTCTTTGCGTATTTAAATTATTAAATTTATATTTATACTAAAAAACATGAAACGAAAAAAGAAATGAAACTCAAGGTTCGCGAAGAACTTGTCTAATTAACTAACCGTGTAATAATTAGTTTATTCTATTTGCGTATGACTTTTTATAGTATATTTTTAATATCGTTGTTGGTTGAGTGTCTAACTGTGACTGCCAGAACATGAGGTCCGGATTTGACTTCCGGTCACAGTCAGTTTGTTTGTGGAAGTTATGTGATATTCGTGGTCCGTGTGGTGTCTCATGTGTGTATCTCCGACATCCGTAACGCAGGAGAAATGAAGGCTAGTTTCATTGTGGAACGATTTTTTGAAGTTAAACTTCTAATGCGACTTCCAACAAGGTTGCGTTAAACGTTGAACGCTACTATACTAGAAAGAGACAGAGCGAGGGTGAATGCGTGGCACTCGAACGCATGCGCGCAGTTAACAGGCCAGCGCGAACGTTAGCAACGAGTAGCGTCCAATATTTTAATGAAGTTTAAAAAAAAAAATTATACATATTTATTTTTCTACTAGCTGACCCGGCAGACTTCGTAGTGCCTGAATCGATATATAAAAGACCTAAACTTTTGTATAAAATAAACTCAAAACAAACAAAAGGAATCCGTCCGACGGGGGACACATCAAAGGAAAAACAAAATTGTTATTTTTATTTATTTCCGAGCCTTTTCATATTTATCTAATATTTTAAACCTTCTCTGGACTTCCACAAATAAATCAAGACCAAAATTAGCCGAATCGGTCCAGCCGTTCTCGAGTTTTAGCGAGACTAACGAACAGCAATTCATTTATATATATAGAGATTAATAATTTAAAACATATAATATAAATGTTTGAAAATGTCGCATCTCTTACACACAGCATTCCTTATTACAAGAGCAATCTGATTTAAGAATGAAAAATGAAGAAAACCACAATACTACACATCGAAAAAGAAGTTTCACTTCATTCGCCATTTTATTTTTATTTTTTATATACAACTAAGTGTTCGTCCGATGATCGATGTTCGACTTTAATCACTGATACCTCAAGATTCAAACTCGTTTTGCGTATTACATTTATTGTTTTTATTATGTTATTTAAATAGTGAGAAAAACGTTAGCATTCACGAGAAGGCGTAAAAAAATAGTACAATAACATACATCGACTAGAAGATTCTGATATCTCGAAACAAATGAAGATGTTTTCCCATGCTTTTAACTGTTGATCAATTTCATTGCAAAGATGTGTGAATGAGCTCAATGTGGGCCACATTGCGTTAAGTGGTTACAGGAGCCCACAGATATCACAATGTGTATGTCGCCACCCATCAGACATCAGGCCGAAGACTCAATTATTTATTGTACAATGGCTCGTCTTTACAAGCCAGAACGCATGATTGCTTAGCGGTAGAAATGGTCAGGGCGGTGGTACCTCCCGTAAGTCCTGCCATACATGGTAGTTGCATATCAGTTGGCGACGGCAGTACACTGATACTTTGAGAACACTTCTGCCCACTGAATACCTTATTTTACGACATCAACGAAAACAGCGGCAGGTTTACGCTAGAAAGCGGCTTGGCTCTGGCATTGCTGACGTCCATTGGTAACCATTCACCCTCAGATGGGCCGTATGCTCATCTGCCTACAAGGGGAAATAATAACACCCAAATGAAGTGGTTCCTAATCTAGGCCGCATCGCATGCCCCACAGCAACCTCTTTAAAAGGTCAATGCATCGTCTCATTGATCGTGGTCCCTCAGATTCAGGATATAATAAACGATGAGGTCTACATGTCGTACAGCGAAGACTCCAGAGTACTGGATATAGTTTCTCAGCTGATCGGCGATGACATCTCCGCCGTCAATCTGATGCTGATCAACAAACCGCCGGAGTCGACCAGACACCCCGCCCATCAGGTAACGAAAAACTCACTGTTCTGCAAGGTATTGCTACGCGCTGGGGTTCACAAGCTAACACTGTATTCAACCCTTAGAACACTTCACTACACTTTAAAATTCTCAATTCGCTTCTTTCGCTTCGCTTCAAGTGATCCCTTCGCTGTTTCGCTTCAGGTAGTTCCGATTACTGACTGACTGCGTGCTATCCCTGCAACGCTTTTATAGCCGATACCTCATCCCTAGAATTATCGAGAATATTCCACACATCTCTAGTATCGTTTCCGCTATCTGACAATAGATGGCGAAGTACTTCTTGAGCATTCTAAGTGCTACTAGATCCTTCTATATTCGTTCGACTATTCGGCGATAGATGGCGTTACTCTTACCGGCGTAACAGTATTATATTAAAATACTCGCTCGAGTCATTGGTGTCTTTATATTATAACATTTACAACTAGTCTGCATCCATAATTATGCTTCATCTTAAGTCTTTTATGAAATGTCACACAGCCGCCATATTCAGAAACGTTCCGTTATTACATAAATTAAGTTCTATTGTACTCGACTACTGTAGACACAGTCTTCTGCAGCTCTGTGCTGTGTGCTTAGTGCGAGTTATTAACGTTCTCGATAATGTAAAAGTTAACTCAGATTTGTATGCATTGGAACAGCGCCCCTAGCGGCAAACGTAGGCAAACGTTCCAACTCCATACAAATTAGAGTTAACTTTTACGCTATCGAGAACGTTAAAAAACTCGCACTTATCATACTAATCCCGAACGCTTCTCTTACACAAACAGATCCACACATTACAATTTTGCATAATTACTGGTGGTAGGACGTCTTGAGAGTCCGCACGGGTAGGTACCACAACCCTGCCTATTTCTGTAGTGAAATAAAAATGCGTTTCGATTTGAAGGGCTTTGTCCCAGGCTGGGTGGCGACATGTTGAAATTAGAAAGTTGAACCCTACTTTATAGTTTATAGAATCATGGTGTGATGAGTATATCTCTAGTTTATACTTTAATATAATCTATGTAAGTCTGTGATTCCTTTTCCGGGTCTATGATAGAACTCTAAAATGCTTGGATTTGTTATGCGTAACTCTCAACATTTTCGTAAAGCTAAAACTATTAAAATACTATACCGTACTTTTGTTCGTAGTAACTTAGAATACGCTTCACAAGTTTGGAATCCTCGATATAATATCTATATAGAACGAATTGAAAGAATTCAGCGTAAATTTATAAAGTACCTTTGTTTTAAATTAAATATTGCCTATAACTCTAATAATTTGATAACCTTTGTAAAAAACATCATCTACTTCCTCTTTACTTGCGACGTGAGGTTGCCGACATTATATATTATTTAAAGATCGTTAAAGGTTTGGTGGATTGCCCGGAGCTCTTATCCAAAGTTGACTTCAATGCACAGAGAATATCTTTAAGGCATCGAAATCTAATTTCTTTGCCACTAGCTTCCACTAACTATAGGCAAAACTCATTCTTTTTACGTGTTGGTGGTGACCTCAACAGACTTGGCAGGTTCTTAGATATTGACCCATTTTATTCCTCTATCACAGGACTTAGACGTCAACTTAGTGCACGATTTTTCGTAAGCGATGAGGGGGCAGAGGGTGCGGTGCCATGTGCCGGTGATGTGTAGCGCAACAGTTTTTTATTAATTTGTGACATTTATACATAAGTGTACATTTAAATTAGTCTGGTGTTTTCCTCCATTCCTTATGTTGTTTCTTGCTTGCTGATTGTTTTTAATTTTTTCTTTTTTTGTTTCTATGCTTTTGTTTCTCTAGTGTTTTTAATTATATTGGTGAGAACCTTTAATTGGCTTTTTGTTTCTATTATTTGTTATATTATTATACTTTGTTAGTTGGCTGTTGGTTCTCCTTGTATTAAATAAATAAATAAATAAAAACTCTCGCGAATAAAACTACGTTTTGTAAAACCGCTATACTTTCATTTAATACATTTACATTGTTGACGTCCATGTTGATTGTTTATCCTTGCCTATACGCTGGTAGCATAAGAGGCTATTTCAGCTACATCCTGACGGGTAGGTGAGTTCACGGGCTCAACCTGAGAGAGCTTGCTATCACTAGCCCTAACAAGAGCAGTGCTTCGCTGAATCTACCACCGGATCGGTTCATGACGTCAGCACGTGACGGCAGATGAGTCCCATTTAAGTAATTAAGCTTTGTAATTGTTTCAGGATCAGTGGTATTTCCCTTTCGGGCCAACAGACAAGATCATAGCGATGTGGACGGCTCTGGATCCGGCGAACTTACAGAATGGGTGTCTGTACATTGTGCCAGGCTCGCACAAGTGTGGAAAACTGTTTAAGCACGTAACATTTAAGGTGAGAGAATATATTCGTCTTTTTTTTTAATGTTTAGATGGGTTTACGGTAAGCAGCGGCTTAGCTCTGCCCCTGGCATTGCTGAAGTCCATGGCCGACGATTACCACTGACCATCAGGTGGGCCGTGTGCTCGTCTACCTACAAATGCAATAAGAAAAAAATGTGTGGACGAACTCACAGCTCACCTGGTGTTAAGTGGTTACTGGAGCCCATAGACGTCTACGACGTAAAAGCGTCACCCACCTTGAGATATCAGTTCTCAGTTACAACAGCTGCCCCGCCCTTCAAACCGAAACGCATTACTGCTTCACGGCAGAAATAGGCAGGGCGGTGGTATTTACCCGCGCGGACTCACAAGAGGTCCTACCACCAGTAAAAGCCACTACTCCAATACGATCGAGAGTTCGATGAACTTCTGGCCAACTTCAGTTGTAACGTTCACAAGGTTCACTTTTGAAAACTGTCCCTTACAGAATTCAAAGAAGTTCTTCCACGTTATCGCTGACGAGGACAAGTTGGCTCCGTTGAGCAGCCGATTCTATTTGGAGATGTCTCCGGGAGACACGGTCTTCTTCCATCCGTACCTGATACACGGCTCCGGTCCTAACGACACCAAGGTATTTGTTTAGTTTGCTCTTTTATATAACTAACAAAAGAAGACTAGAATTATATTAAAACATCCGGTGGATGCAAGCAGCGTAGGACCGTGACGAGGATTGGGGGAGGCCTTTGTCCAGCGGTGGACATCTGTGGGCTGATAGAATAGAACATTAAAACACGAAACTGTTATTCATTTCTCGAATTTTAAAACATCAAAAAGACTTATCGTTCCAAACTAATCTTATATGAACACGCGATCTTTTGAGTGAAGAGGCTTTCTTGTAGTAAGGTACCTTTTGTCCCTACCTATTCGTTGGTAGTTTAGGAGGCTATTCCAGCTACGCGCGCTTTAGTAGGTGAGCTCATGGGCTCAACCTGAGAGAATTTGCTAACACGAACCCTAGCAAGAGCAATGCTTCGCAGAATCTACCACCGGATCGGAAACGCGACCCACTGAGAAGATCCGGCGAGAAACTCAGTTTGAGCATTATTTAGAGAGAGAGAGAGAGAGAGAGAGAGAGAGAGAGAGAGAGAGTATTCTTTATTGTACACCAAAAAACAAATAAACAGTGCGATACATTAAATACAAAAAAAAAGTATAATTGGCGGTCTTATAGCTTTTTTATTTAATCGGATATTGTAGCCAATTTTTGGTGTGAAAACTTTTTTGGTCATAATATATTTTTACTGTCTATCAAATTATTACACGTCTTTAAATGCAAAAGGTTTTTAAGGAAGTTCCATTTCCAGGACTACAGGAAGGCGTTGACCATCCACTACGCCAACAGCGCGTGTCACTACGTCGACCTGCGGGGCACCGTGCAAGAGGAATTGAGCACAGGTACCCTCAACAATGCTTATTTTGATGTCCATTGCTGCACGTGTAAGACTGCAGCCCATAGACATCACGCTTTGACGCACAAAGCTGAAATCTCAATCGTAATCTACGACTGTACTACTATTCCAAGGCGTCTCTGTTTCTTTATAGAATAAATAATGTTTTAAAAAAACTAACAAATACGTTTTTATAGAAAATCCAACTAAAAATTTGAAAATGAATTTTAATAAATTTGAATTAATAATAGTGTAAGAAAAAGTGATTTTATTGTAAAAAAGCGTGGGGTGCATGGTATCAGTAGTTATAAATATTTTATGAACAGATATGAGTAGAAGGGTTATTATGATAATATCCTGAAAAGCACCCCACCCTTTTTTACAATAAAATCATTTTTTCTTTCACTATTTTTAATTCAAATTTATTAAAATTTATTTTCTACTTCTTAGTTGGATTTTCTATAAAAGCGCATTTTGTTAGTTTTTTTAAACTATTATTTATTTCTCACTTATAGTTGAATTTCAATTTTTTAATTTTTTTTAATTGTTTTTTTTAGTATTGAATCGTCATCGGTCCTTAATAAGTATACCAAATTTCGCGTTAATCCGACGTTTTGAAGGGGGTCAAAATCATGTTCAAAGATTCCGTTACATACATACATACGTCTGAAGCTAATAAAAGCGTATTAAAGAGTAGGATTTTGATCATTAGGCTCAGTCTACAGCATAGCACGTTTGAAGATTAAATCAAATTTAATATTATGAAGTATTTTGTTCCGCTGAAATAACTCATTCGTCGCCCGCAGAGTTCCAGCGGGAAGGCGAAAGGCGAGGCATCACGGGGTTTGATTACAGCGTGAGTCTCCACTTGTCATCCGTGACTGATGCTGACTCCGGTGTTGTAGTCCCAGGCGCCTAACTGTCCCGGGCAGATGGCGTCACCCCGGATAGTAACTCTCCAGTTGGAAGGGCGCGCCAATATGAACACCGTCGAGACTTTAACCTCATGTATCAAGGCAACCATCATCCTCCTTGGGCCCGCGGTCAGCTCCCATCATCAGCAGATCGTCAAGTCCCACAGACCGCGCGGGGACTGTAAGAGGTTTGGTCCTTGGCCCGAAAAAAAAATCCATGCATGGCTTAGCGATAGAATTAGTCGGGATTGCGGCTTCTATCCATACTCGCTCACGGGTAGGTACCACCGCCCTGCCTATTTCTGCGGTGAAGCAGTAATGCGTTTCCGTTTGAAGGGTGGGGCAGCCGTTGTAACTATACTGAGACCTTATATCTCAAGGTGGGTGGCGGCATTGACGTTGTAGATGTCAATAAACTTAACACCAAGCGGGCTGTGTGTGAAATCATCTGTTAATTCAAAGAATGAAAACAAATATTAAATGTTTATTACTAAATCTCTGTTTCCAACTAGCACTAAGCATGCTAGCATTTATTAAGATATGTTTTCCCAATTATTAATATTAGTTACGATGTGCTCGCGAACTCAGGGCCTGCTGTGACCGGTCATCGGAAGTCAGGTCCCGGTTACACTGGCCCAAATATCTCGAAGTGCTTATGTCCAGACTACGGTGACCCCCGACCGTCGTGTGGGTCGCCAGTTCCTGTGTGCTTAGTGCGAGTTTTTTAACGTTCTCGATGGCTTAAAAGTTAATTCAATCGTATAGAGTTGAAACGTTTGCCTACGTTTGCCGCTAGGGGCACTGTTCCAACTGCATACGAATTTGCATTAATGTTACGCGCTGGGGCTTGGGATAAATAAAAAATTCTATCTAAGTGTAAATTAAAACTGTATTAGCATTTAACACACTTTACAAACACTTTAAATTTCTTAAATATTTTCTTCCGTTTCGCTTCAGCCAATTACTGGCTGACTGCGTGCCATCTGTGCAACGCTTTTATAGTCGATACGACATCCCTAGAATCGTCGAGAACATTCTACACAAGTCGAGTACCTTCAATGAGTGTTTCCACTATCTGACAATAGATGGCGTTGTAATCCTCGAGCGTTCTAGATGTTACTAGATCCTCCGATATTCGTTCGGCTATTCGGCAGTAGATGGCGTTATTTTTACTGGGGTAACATTAACTTTTACGCTATCGAGGACGTTAAAAAACTCGCACTAAGTACTAACACTGTATAATCATGGATTTTTATTTCAGGACTACTGGAAGTTAAAGATAAAGGCGGTCAGAGGTCCGAGATGCAATCTGTAGGTCTGCAATAAAGAATATATAAACTACACGACCATTTGTTTTTGTTTGTTTTATGCTTTTTACTTTACATGCGCGCGACCGTCATGTTGCAATCAAACCACTTAGTCACAAGCATCACAGAGTATTTATTGTATGCCAAGAATTGTACCAAACTCCTTGAGCATATATCGAGGGGTGAAATACATCGGCAGACTTCGTAGCGCCTCAATCGATAAATAAAAGACCCAAACTTTTGTATAAAATACAACTTAAAACAAACAAAATGAATCCGTCCGACGGCGGACACATCAAAGGAAAAACAAAATTGTTATTTTTATTTATATTCCGAGCATTTTCATATTTATCTCTCTTTTAAACTTTCTCTGGACTTCTACAAATAATTCAAGACCAAAATTAGCGAAATCGGTCCAGCTGTTCTCGAGTTTTAGCGAGACTGACGAACAACAATTCATTTTTATATATAAGTACTTAGTCTGGCCATAAATACTGTTACAATTAAAAATAAAAAAAAATCTATTGCAAATAACATTTATTACTTTTACAGTGTGTTAGTTTAATACATAAATATAAAACAATTTAAAGTATAAAAAGCTTATTCGAAGTGGTCTCCATTGGCTGCAATACAGTCCTTTAAATGTTGAGGCCAGTTATCAATAGAAGCACGCACTCTTTCCATGGGAAAAATTTTCACTGCCAATCGTACGGATTGTTTTAGGGACTCCAAATTATCATGGCGCTTAGAGCAAGTAGTTTGTAGTCGTCGTGGCCTAAAGGATAAGATGTCCGGTGCATTCGTGTGCAGCGATGCACCGGTGTTCGAATCCCGCAGGCGGGTACCAATTTTTCTAATGAAATACGTACTCAACAATTGTTCACGATTGACTTCCACGGTGAAAGAATAACATCGTGTAATAAAAATCAAACCCGCAAAATTATAATTTGCGTAATCACTGGTGGTAGGACCTCTTGGGAGTCCACACGGGTAGGTACCATCACCCCGCCTATTTCCGCCGTGAAACAGTAATGTGTTTCGGTTCGAAGGGTGGGGTAGCCGTTCTAACTATACTGAGACCTTAGAACTTATATCTCGAGGTGGGTGGCGCGCTTACGTTGTAGATGTCTATGGGCTCCAGTAACCACTTAACACCAGGTGGGCTGTGAGCTCATCCACCCATCTAAGCAATAAAAAAAAAGCCGTACTCTCTAAAACTGATCATAAATCATAATCCAGCGGATTAAGATCGGGACTAGACGACGGCCAGTCTTCAGCTCTGATGAAGTCCGAAACGTTCGTTTCCAACCAAGACTGCGTAGACCAAGCTTTATGAGCTGGCGCCGAGTCTTGCTGGAAGGACCATTCTTGATTATTGAACATGGTGTTGTTTATCACCCCACTCCATTTTAATATCGCAAAATCTTGTACAATGATTTGGCGCCAAAATGAGAAAACTCAATGAGCAATCATATAAAAATGACAGATTCCAAATTCAAATGTAACATTTTGTTTATTTTTAATTGTAACAGTATTTATGGCCAGACAAGTATAGATTAATTATATTGTTGAATATGTATTACCATAATAACAATTTAAGTTCATTTATTAACGAAACGCTAGTCTTTTATCCAGAGTGTGAACAGACGATATAAATGGTTAATGTAGAAATAAATAAACAAAATTAATGTTGTAATTGTTTATTTCAAGTCTTAGGTTTGTTAATTGTAACTAAAACGAGCACACAATAGTTATGGTACATTTGGTATTGGAAATTGTAATATTAATACCACTTTTTCAATATATATTTTTTAAATCAACAGCAGTATGTAACGGTAGCACAGAGCGTATGTTTGAAAAAACCTTGGATGGCGCTTACGACATTTTCAATGTGAGTTTACATTTAGAACTACATTCGGAGAAATAACCTCCTCCGAATTCACTCCAAACTATTCATTTCGGATTACCCGTTGTCACGAGTCATAGAGTAAGATTATATGTCACAAGTTCATTGAGTAGGTAAAGGTAAGGTACATTAACGTAATTCTAGAAGAGTCTAAAAACGTCACATAAAAATTCGAAATTTGAAAAAGCAGTTTCAATATTTGAAAAAATAAAAAAAGAACCCGCTATAACTTCTAATTTAACTTACAATAAATTCGATTCTTATTTTACTGTTAGTATCTTATCTTAATAATAAAAAATAATAAACTTTATGCATTTGGCTCATCTATAATAGCCGTGTCAGATTATAAAATAATTTAGCTTACGCTGGCAGGTCGGCGAGCGATCTTCAAACTCTCAGCCATGCCATTAACTATGTCAATACAGCGGTAAATAACCTTCAATATTCACATATTTGTTAAAGGTGATTTAGTCAAATCCCATAGAACTTAATTTTATATTTACATGTCTATATTATTTTACGATACGTATTTATTTATGTATATGCTTCATCAAAATAAACTCTAAAATAAAAATTTGTACAAAAGTACGGTGATATTTAAATAAGGTCAACCCAGACTTGAATTTAGCTCAGGTTTCATTAGACCAAACTTTGAGGACACCAATGTAGGTAAACAAAAATAAAATTTTGAAAATGATTAATTTTATGAAGAACACATTAAAGAGGTTTTAATAATATAAGATATATTTAAAGTATTATAGGTTATTAATTAAAAACGGAGGTGCAATATGTTTACTTAATATTAAAACTGTGACGTCAGACTAGATCAGATACGAAAAAAAAAGAAAGAACAATAAAACTTAAAATCTATTTTAATATTAATTTTCTATATATTACGTCAGCTCTTCTATTTTTTAACGATTTTCTATAACGCTAATAATTGAGTGCGGGAAAATAAAAAAAGTTTCCAGAACAAAAAAGCAATGGACATAATTTTAATCTAATAAAAACGTAATCTCGAAATCTATTAAATTCGAATTTCTTCAAGTACCGACCGGTAGACCCGGGGACTCCCACTTCCAACCGAGGCACAGTTGTTTTCTTAGAAAAAATTATCTCCATTCAGTCGAGGAAATGTTGGTAATTGCCTCAAAGAATCGTCGAAATCAGTATTCTATTCGCTGCTGTCTTACTTGAGGTTGAAAAATGCAAACTATATTGGAAAAAGCGTTTTTACAGACGTCAGTAAAAAAAAACTACAATTATATAATTTTTTTCTAGCCTATGGAAAGAATAGTTGATTCCTTAACTTCTTGATGTTAAATGATTTCCGAGACTCGTTAAGTGGAGTCAAGGAAGTTTCGAGGTAATAATCTCTTACAAAATCGGTAGTTGAATTCGCCCAAGAACATTTTTGCGATAATTTTTTCTTCGAAGCATAAATACGCTGTATTATATTATTAATATTGCATTGGACTATTCTTGTTCGGAAATTCTTATGGTTTTTTAGAAAGGTTCCTTCTTAGTGATATGACATTTATATGTTGGATGTTTCTCAAAAAAGCATACGCCATCAATTATTAATTCAATGAATATCGTTTTTTTTATTGTATAAAGTAGTTGATAGATTTAACGTGCTAAAGAAGATGAACTATTATTTATTCTGCATCCGGTTTCAAGTCGCATGTATCTTGTTACATTAATTTTCAGCAAAGGCTGTTAATATAATAATCAGGTGCGTTCATCAGAAATCTGTAAAAGAAGGAGATTTGTTTACTAAAATAAAAAATTAAGAAACATGTTTTATAAGAAACACCAAAAAGTATACGTACCAAATTGCAAGAAGGATTTAGATAAGCATGAAATAAAATAAATGACATAGCACAAAATTATAGGTTAGGTTTATTGTATTTGCGCGCCAAAATTGTAAATACAAAATTTCTACCTAATATTTGTAGTCAAACAGTTTACTGTAGTGACGTCACATGATAAAGCGTTTTGGCGCGATTTTTTTTCAATATCCTATTTCTAAATAATTTTGTTTTTTAATCAAACACATGCATTTGACGATTATCACTACGGACCGTGACCCGTTTCCGCTAATTCATAATAAAGTATACAAGCCAAGCATCATTTATGATAAGGAGTTCGTTTATTAATAATTTTAATAATATGCGGGTTAATATATAAAAAAAAAGTGTTAATGTTGCCATGACACAGCTAATAAAACTATGGCTATTTATTTAAACTTAAAGTCCGTTTGAAGAAGCAATAATTATAACGTAGTGTATAGCAATAAAATATTAAAGTTAACATGAATAAATAAATTATAAACGTCGTTTCAAAAAACATAATTCTGTTATTTACTATATTAATTATTATAAACTATTCCTAATCCTATACCATATAAAATTAATCATCAAAATGTTTATTAGTCTTATAGTTGCAATTTATTTATTGTTGTAATTAAATACAGTCAAAATCTGTTATAACGACATCGAAGGGACTGCTCATATTCAGTCGTAAAAACCGATAGTCGTAACAACCGGTGATGTTTAATGTGTATCGTGCAAGTACAAACAGATCGATAGGGAATTATTGGAAAAATATATTTACATAATACGCGATTTTTCTTCAATATTAATTTGTTTTCTTTTTCTTTGCGACATTTTGAAAGTTTCACGAATAACTCCACAAAGTTTTGGTGCGTCTTGTGTATAGATAAGTAACAAACTAACTGAAGAGATATGAAGAAGCGGGCTTTGACTACCGCATGCACGTGTTTTGTTTCTAAGAATTAGAAAAGACCCTACACTAAACTAAATCCTATTGTTTTCTTTCCTGATTTTAAAAGCCATTGAAGACAAATGTGGATACCTATTCAAATTGTTTACAATACAGCTTAGCCGGTCGTTCTAACAGATCTAATTCTCCGAAATATTAGTTAAATGTGGTCGTTTTATAAGGTATGTCGTTATTACCAATGTCGTAGAAAGCAATATTTTTAATAAGGCGGTTATATGGCATTCAGCCGGGACCTTTGTTCTTGGTTATTATAACCGGCATGTTGTATTAAACGATGTCGCAGTAAACGGTTTTGACTGTACATAATTTGTCGTTTATCATTTTAGTACAGAAACACCAATCTATTGTAGCTACTCCAATGATATTTTATATGTAAAAAGAAGCAGATATGTTTCAAGCGCACGTCAAGTGAAGACTCGAAAACAGGCCAATTGGGACGTTTCGTCTTTAGTCGCGTCTAAACAAATGCAATAATAATATAACAAGTGCAATCGTTCCAATTATAGCTATCTTTTTTACTCACGCGCTTATCCCATCTTTTGTACTTTTCATTANGAAGACTCGAAAACAGGCCAATTGGGACGTTTCGTCTTTAGTCGCGTCTAAACAAATGCAATAATAATATAACAAGTGCAATCGTTCCAATTATAGCTATCTTTTTTACTCACGCGCTTATCCCATCTTTTGTACTTTTCATTAATGCTACTTGTCAACATGTGTGTGCACTATATCGGTAGGTATGTAGATATATATGGCGCGATCAAATTTGAAGAGTCAGTTACTATGAAGACAACATATCTGTTGTATAAAAAATCATTGAGCTACTCTTAATGTTTTGGCACAATACAGTTACATGAATAGCCAAACTTACGTATAAGCAAACTTTATGTTCAAACACATTTCAAAGTTTCATCTCACTTTTATGGTATAAGTAAACGGTAGATTAAAGTCTGTAAGAGTTTTTAATCAGGGCTGCGATTTACAACGCAATGAATTCTAGTAAGTTTATGATCGTGACATTCCGAGCATAGGTAAAAAGCGGGAAATTTGAAGAATGTGTTCTTAAGTAAGGCGCAAAAAATCTACTTTTTCAAATGTCTATGGCGTCTTTTTGATATAGACATTCTGGTTTCTCTTGTTTCTTGCTCTTAAGCTGGATTGTTTTTTTTATTTGTTAAGTACGTTACAAATGATTTTGACAATGCTTTTGATTCGCTTATATTTTATTTTATTAATCTAAGCGTTTTCTAGATGGCTTTTTATGAGATTACCATGTTCACATTTTTTTAATTGGTTAATTAAAAAAAAGAGACTACTGTGGGTAGGTAGATATAAAAATAATTGCTCTAACATTATTAACCAGCGAGAAAACCTTTGACTTTGACCTTTAACCTTTGACCTTTGACCTTTGACTTTGACCTTTTTTGTTATGACAGCAGATGCTTCCTCGGTGTTTGCAAGTCGTAGGGATCCACAACCGTATCTAATACTTCCTAGAGTTATCCTACCAGGACCAACAAGCAAATTCCATATAAAGCTAAAGCAATAAATTACATTTCAATTAAATAAAATATTCAGTTGAATACGTAATAAATCATGAGCTCGAAGGCTACTTGGTTTAAGCGACGTTTTAGCAACTTTACAGGAGAGCCATTTAAAGTTTGAAATTTGGAAAAAATATCATGAAAGAAAACTTCTTGAGTTATTTGAATGGAGTCTCAGCTTAATTGAAGTTCCATTAAAAGCATCTAACTGTTGATGCTGATACCAAATAAAACGGACCTTGAATTACAAAGTAAATGTCGCGTGTTAAGCGAAATGCCCACTGAGTTTCTCGCCGGATCTTCTCAGTGGGTCGCGTTTCCGATCCGGTGGTAGATTCTGTGAAGCACTGTTCTTGCTAAGGCCAGTGTTAGCAACACTCCGGTTTGAGTCCCGTGAGCTTACCTACACGTTAGGATGAAGCTGAAATAGCCTCTCAAGGCCATCAGCATAGGTAGGACAAAAAAAGTGAAATGTCGTTTAAACCAAATAGCCTCTTTCACACATCTACGACAGTTCCGTGGTCACACAATCAACGCTACACTACACACGCCCGCCATTAATCTACGCGTTGCCTATTATTGACATAGACTTTGACATGTTCACCTTCGTATTTCCTCTGGGACGGCATGAAGTAGAAGTCTGGATGCGCGGACAGCGAGTCCCTGGCTGCCGGCGCCGTGCCGCGAGGCAGGGAATACGATGAGTGCTCGGGCCGATTTGAATATCTGAAAACATTCAATTTATATTAATAATTAATAATTAATCTATACTAGTGGCCCCGCAGTAGTCGAAAATCGACTATAATTAATTGAAATTGTAAGTTTAAACATTATTATAATTCGATAATATAATCATTCAGTATTCGCCAAAACTGCACTATAGATAGACAAACAATATTAATCTATTTTCAATTCGACCACAGACTTTAAACAATAACAAAAGGTTCCCAATTGACAGTAAACAAAGAGTATATTTTTATGTATGTATGTGTTGTGTCAAACACATGGTAGTGTGTGTAATGTTTTCTTTATTGATTTAAACTATCTTTGGTGCAGTATTTAAAAAAAATATTAGCATTGTGCACTCCTTCTCTATAAGTGTGAGAAATTTCAAACTCCCCCGTCCTCGCAATTTTCGAAAAAGGGGATACAAAATTTTTGTAGATGTCTATGGGCTCCAGTAACCACATAACACCAGGTGGGCTGTGAGCTAGTCCCCGCATTTAAGCAAATAAAAAAATACATACATACATATACATATACAAATAACCATACGAAGAGCAAACTAGCCTGGTCATCAGACAATGTTTGCCCGATGTGGTAATGGGTCGGTGCAAATGATTTAAAAAATATTGCTACCTATACCAACCAAGCTATAGTCCAGTCATTTTAGGCCAAATTAGGTGCATTTACCGAGATATTATCTCGGTAAATCGACATACCCAGTATATTATCACGTAAAAACTTGTATTTTGGCATCCTAAAACAGTTCTCAAGATTCACATATAATTGGATGGTCGCAAGTTTTAAAGTCAGGGGTCAAAGGTCACAAAAATTGATCTTTTTTTTTTTAAACATTTTTTGCAACTATCTCGTTTTCTATAGGTTTTACGCTATTTTATAACAAAAATGACCTAAAAATATACTATTTGTAATTTAGTTATGTAAAAATCTTACAAGCACTGCATGATACAGACACAAGAACTTTATCAATTGTTATAAGGAAATATAGGGGAACCTAAAATATTTATATTTAGATGCATGAATATTTGATGTCAAGTAAAAATTGATAACGTATTGAACAAAACATTTAAATGTAGCACCAATTTAAGCTTTAAGTTGAAGGCAATAAAGGTGAAATTGTTTTGTAAATAAATCCGACGATTAGCAACTCTGACATGCGCGTGTGTACGGCTCATTGTGAGCCCGCACGGATGGGGACTGGAGTCCTGCTATTACTGCCGCGATGCAGTCGTACAGTCGCTTGGTACAGACCTCATGTCTCATGCTAGACTCACGTTGTGTCTTTGGACTCCAGCAAGCGCTTACCAGAAAGTACAGTGTGAGGTCTCAAGTACAGTAATGTACTGTACTGTACAAACTGTACTTGAGACCTTAGAACCTATATTTCAAGGTGGGTGGCGCATTTACGTTGTAGATGTCTATGGACTCCAGTAACCACTTAACACCAGGTGGACTGTGAGCTCGTCCACACATCTAAGCAGTTAAAAAAAAATTATGTGAGGTTAAAAAAATGCGATGTTAGAACAAATTTATTGATATTCAATTTTGAGCTCTATGATAAACATCTAAGTTACTCAATGCTTCGTAGATAATTTTAAAACAGGTCATTAAACTTAAGGTGGTAAATAGAAAATATGTAATATAAAGTTTCAAGTAAATGCTCTGGAGACCGTGTGGCCTAATGGATAAGGCGTCGGACTTCGGATCCGAAGATTGCAGGTTCGAGTCCTGTCACGGTCGATATGATTATAGTTTAATAAACTTTTTTATGTTTTCATATGTTTTTTTTATTTTATTTATTCAAAAAAGTAATGCGACATCACAAACATTTAACATTGAAAATAACTTTAACTATTTAATTTAGGGCCTGATGCATCTGACAATAATGGCGTACATAACATTGGCAATTCATTGGCTACAATCGGAATACAATAATTAGAGAAAAAAAAAGCAAGAAAACAAAAACTTAATAGAATTAAAACAAAAAAAACATTTTTATTTATACCAAATATTGTTTTTGTTATCCCTATAGTCAGCTTATTTCTGAAACAGTAATTAGTTTCAATTTAGACGATACGCTTGTATTTTTTATTATACTGCACCGGTGGGCGAACTCACGGCCCTTATGATGTTAAGTGACAATTGGAACCCATAGACATCCCAGTAGCGCCACGAACGTGATTCAAGGTCTCAATTGTATTGTAAAGCAGTTGTCTTGACTCTCAAAGTGGGATGCTATTTTTTTTTTCTTAGATAGGTGGACGAGCTCACAGCCCACCTGGTGTTAAGTGGTTACTGGAGCCCATAGACACCTATTATTGGGATCATCTCCCAATTAAATTAATCTTAAGCAATGAATGAAATGTATTCAAATCTTAGCTGTATATTTTTTTTATTTTTGATGTTAATGCACTGTCGATTGCACCTATAATTGAGGTGACATCTGCCATAAACTTTTGTCAATTTGTCAATTTTTTGTATTGATGATCACTTTGTTGGTGCGACTTAATAAATAAATAAATAAATAAATAACGTAAATGCGCCACCCACATTGAAATATAAGTTCTAAGGTCTCAATATAGTTACAACGGCTGCCCCACCCTTCAAACCGAAACGCATTACTCCTTCACGGCAGAAATAGGCGGGGCGGTGGTACCTACCCGCGCGGACTCACAAAAGGTCCTACCACCCTTCCCAGTACTAAAGCCAAATCTGTTTTGCCGCGTTTTTAGCAATAAGCTGCTTTGTTTAAAGACAATGCGTTCTGGAATGCTTTAGTCTGAATTTCTATTTATATTGTGCTGGTATTGAGGGGCATGTGTAACAGTTCCAAGCTGTGGTGTTTGTGTAATGACCGGCCGCAGTACCCAACACTGAGCACCGAGCACGTAGTGTAGAGATATAACGCAACGCATGAGAGAGCGCGCCATTTCTTAGGTACTTACCATGGGACGTATTGAGACGAATTGTTGCGAAGTTAATTATGGAATATGTATTGTACATTGTAATAACACCAGTAATTATTATGCAAGATCATGTTTTTTTTATAGTCCTTGTAGGCCCACCTGATGGTGAGTGGTTACCGTCGCCCATGAACTTCAGCAATGCCAGGGGCAGAGCCGAGCCGCTGCCTTCCCGAAATGTCTGTCATGTCTGGATGAGGGTTAAAGCAAAGTCGCTCACGTGTATTGTCTGGGCCGCTGCAGGGACCTGGTGTCGTGGTAGTACTGCTCCGCGCTGCTCCTGCCCCTCCCCGCGGGGTTGCCGCTGCCCCTCGGAGCGGTAGTGTTGCCGTTGACCAGCCTGGGGTGTCCGATGGTGGCCAGCCGTTGCTCTCCGTTCCCACTAGTGGACCTGGTCATGGTCCCACTGCCGACCGCCCTCGCATTGGTGTCGTTGCTGGGTGCCTTGGTGCCGTTGGTGGAGGCGGGTCGCGGCGGCGGCGGCTCCGTGGGCCTGAGGGTCCGGGTTCGGCTGATGGTAGACGTTTTGTACTTCTCGTCGTTTTCAAACGGTTCGAAGGCGTAATTCGTGTTCGTCGAGTAGTCCTTCCACGCCGAGCTCGGGATCAAGCGATCCTGTTGAGTAACACAAATATAGGTTAGAAAAATCTGTATATTAATAACTAGCGACCCGCTCTCGCTTCTCTTCGGAAACTGTAATTTATTATTGATTTCTCCACTATTTAATGGTGTTATTATACATATAAACATTCCCCTTCAATCACTCTATCTTTTAAAAAAAACCGCATCAAAATCCGTTGCGTAGTATTAAAGATTTAAGCATACAGATATAGGGACAGAGAAAGCGACTTTGTTTTATACTATGTAGTGACACGTGAAGCAAAATCTTTGTACCCCTTTTTACGAAAATTGCGCGGACGGAGGAGTATGAAATTTGCCAAACTTATAGAGAATACTAGCTGACCCGGCAAACGTTGTCTTGCCATATATAAGATTTCTAGAGAATTTCTAGTGTAGAAAAAAAATGACTAACTTATTGGAAGTGTATAAGGATGTGGAATATGAGTGAAAAAAGCCTGGAGCGCTGTGAACGATGAGGGAATGTTGTTTAAAAATAACAAAACACCAAACATTAATTGTTTTAATTTATTAAAAGTAATAATTATATATATAATTAATTCATTACATAATAATAATCTATTAATGCTGCAGCGTGAACAATATTTTTTGTTAGCCCGTCTTTAGCTAATACAAACAAACTTGATGGTTTACCCACTCGAGAGCATGCAACGTATAATTGTCCGTGTGAAAAACATGGTGTGCTCAAATCTAAGCCACAAACAGACATTGTTTGGCCTTGGGATTTATTAATAGTCATTGCAAATGCCAATCTAATCGGAAANCAAAATTTACATTAAAATCTCCACTTAAAATCATCGGTATTTTATAATTATTGTTACCGAGTAAAGAGGCACCTTCACTTGTGTACGGCAACAATGAATGGTGAAGAAAAAGATGGCGCGTAACGGAAAAATGTGACGCGTAACCGAAAAATGTGACGGTAAATTTTTTTCCAACGCCGATAAAGAAGTTTCACTTCAATAATACGTGAAGCAATAATGTTCAAGCAAGAGAAGAAGAAGCAATAAATGTATGTTTTTTATATTTATTGCCCTTGTCGGCAGACGAGCACACGGCCCACCCGATGGTGAGTGGTTACCGTCACCCAAGGACTTCAGCAATGCCAGGGGCAGAGACGAGCCGTTACCTACATGCCTTTTTACATCAATTGCGCAAATAGAAGAGTATGAAATTTCCCACATTTCTAGAGAATATAGAGGAGTGCAGATTGCAATATTTTTTTTAAAGTTATGCATAAAATAATATTTTAAACCAATAAAAAAAACATTACACACGCTACCATGTATCTGACACGCACACACACACATAAATACTCTTTGGTTTAATGTCTCATCTATGTGACGGTACTGAAGTGACCAAACCTATTGCGGTAGCAACTAAGTGTCATAAGTATCAGGTAGGTTCTGAGTACTTTTACCCATCAAATAAATTAAAAATGTTAGGTTGTTAGGTGTCTGTGTGTGCGGAACCAGCAGCGCTAGACGTCTCCGTGTCGTGATGCTGTGGACCCGCGTGAGGGATACGTACCGGCGCCGGTCTCGGGCGGCAGAGCGCGGCCAGCACCGGCAGCAGCGCGGCCACCAGCAGCCCGACCGCGCAGCCCACCACCACCCACCGCGACCACACCCACCCCACCACGGCCACCACGGGCTCTTCGGGGCGCTCCGACACCACTGGAACAAAACAGAGGACGCTTGTTAGCTCCACACATATCTATCAGCAGGTAACTTGGGCTCATCAAGAAATTTAGGATTGGAAGTTTAGCGCCATCCGCCGTAGTCACTAAGCCTTGTGCCGACTTACTTCTACTTGTCCCAAAGTTAAATAACTTCTTGGCAGGGGAATAATTCTACATCGGAGGGGCAGTAGAACATGTCTTTGAAGAGTTTGTTGTCTCCCATACACCTGACTTCTTCAACAAGGGTATTGAAAAGTCAACTCCGTACTGGCAGAGATACGCCGATACCGTGAGCTCATATTTTGATTCAGGGAAGTAAAAAAAGTCGTACATAAACACACCTAACACTTCATTATTCAAATAAGCAAATTTTTCTTGGGTATTATTTAGGATTTTATAACACGATGGAATTACTACATCTTGGAAGTTGCTCGTGGACATGTGTTTCCAAATAAAATAAATAATACATAGTTTAAAAAAACTAACAAAATACGTTTTTATAGAAAATCCAACTAAAAAATAGCGTAAGAAAAATTTATTTTATTGTAAAAAAGCGTAGGGGGCTTTTCAGGATATTATGAAAATAACCCTTCAACTCATATCTGTTCATAAAATATTTATAACTACTGATACTATGTACTCCACGCTTTTTTACAATAAACCTTTTTCTCTGACACTATTTTTGATTCAAATTCAATTACGAACGAATCATACGTCTGAAGCTAATAAAAGCGTATTAAAAAGGAAAACGTCTATGGACATCAGCGATAGAAGTCTCGCTGTTATCGACCTAATAAAACTCAAGAGTTCCACTTATTTCTTCAAGCTGCTTCGGCAAGAGTCAGCGTGAAGTATACTCACGATTCCATAAGCGACACGCAATGTATTAAAATTGAACATATCGTCACTAAAGGCTTTTGATATTATGACCTTAACATCTATATACATAAAAATGAATTGCTGTTCGTTAGAACTAAAACTCGAGAACGGCTGGACCGATTTGGCTAATTTTGGTCTTGATTTTTTCGTGGAAGTCCAGAGAAGGTTTAGGTGAATAAATATGAAAATGCTCGGAATTATATAAAAACAAACAATTTTGTTTTCCATTTGATGTCCCCCCGTTGGACGGATTCCTTTTGTTTGTTTTAAGTTTATTTTATACAAAAGTTTAGGGTTTTTATTTATCGATTGAGGCACTACGAAGTTTGCCAGGTCAGCTAGTGTTTAATATAGCGTGGTCTTGTTTTATTATTTTTTAAATATTAAATTATCATTGTCTAATTATAATTGCATAAGTTGATAAAAAATGCTATGCTTTACCGCGGCAGTTCCCGAATGCCACACGTTTTTTTTTTGTCCGTCTGTTTGTTCCGACTAATCTCTGGAACGGCTGGACCGATTTCGATGAGAATTTCACTGATAGGTAGCTGATGATATAAGGAGTAACTTAAGCTAACTTAGACTTAGGCTAAGGAGTAACTAGCTTTGCCCCGCGGCATCACCCGCGATACGACAATAACCGCGGGTAGCATCGCGGGACTCAGCTAGTCTACAATAAAGAAGCTTCAACAACCAACACTCACGGCTCTGAGGTTCGAACACCAGAAACTCGGGATCGAAGTTGAGGTTGCCGACCTGCCCCAGCGCGAGCGTGTCCCGCACCGCGCGCTCCCACCGCGACATCTCGCCGTCCCCCTCCGTCGCGTTGTGCGAGAGCGAGACGTCCGAGCCGAGCGCCCGCCCGCTGGAGCCGGGTATCAAGTTCGAGTCGATCGACTTCAGCGTGAGCTCGGCTATTATCGATTGTGTTTCGTTTCTGTAATTGAAAATATAAAATCAAGTATGTCCTGTTGAAGTTTGATCCTCTTGTCGTGGCCGCCGGTAATTATATACCCGATCCTGTGGACCCAATGGTAAACAGTCGATGTTGCCCTAAACACGTCATTACGGATCCTCCCGATACATTAACGGTGCTTTTAAGTACCACAAGCACCGGTCACCGTCCTCGCCGAACCCTTTTTTTTATAGCTTAGATGGGTGGACCACCTCACAGCCCACCTGGTGTTAAGTGGTTACTGGAGCCCTTAGACATTTACAACGTAAATGCGCCACCCATCAGCTTGAGATATAAATTCTAAGATCTCAGTATAGTTACAACGGTTGCCCTACCCTTCAAACCGAAACGCATTACTGCTTCGCGGCAGAAATAGGCAGGGCGGTGGTATCTTTTTTTTTTTTTTTTTTTTTTTTTTATTGCCCTTGTAGGCAGACGAGCATACGGCCCACCTGATGGTGAGTGGTTACCGTCGCCCATGGACTTCAGCAATGNTCGACTTGGTACAGGGCGCCTTCACAGCCGACCGTGGAAAAACACACAGATCGGAACCAGTGTCCACTAGGAACTGCATTTTTGAAGTACGGTCGGTGATAAAAAGACGGCCTGAAGAATGTGGGCAGTCGTTGGCCGCTACTTCCGACCGCCCCAGGAGTTTTCCGACGCGAAACTGCATGGCTGTTTGCACTTATAAGCTTTGGTCCCATAAGTAAAGTGGTAGAAACAGTAAGGGTGATCTGCGGGTGGTTGTCTAGGCTTGGAGCGACTTTGAGAACGACCGTTCCAGTGGCGCCTAGATCTATTCCTCGAACGGCTTCTTCCAGCCACCTGTTTAGAGAGCAAGCTGATTTGCTGTGTCAGTGAATTGATTTGCTGGGCCATCTCACTCATCGTCGGATTGACTTGCTCATTGCTTTGGGCTTGGGAAGATGCGCTTGCCACCTGTGGTACTGTTGGGGCCATTTCATATACGACATCTGCCAAGTCACTTAGCTTCTCCATTGACGATCCTTTAATCGTAGCGACTGCTGTTTGCACGTTCACAGGCAGGCGACTGGTCCAGATGGTTATTATAAAATCAGATGGAACGTCTGAACCAGCTAGAGTTGTCAAGTGGCGAAGAAACTGAGACGGTTTCCGATCTCCGAGTTCTTCGTGCATGAGGAGTTGTCTTACACGCTTCTCCTGTGATATTGATAGTCGCTTGATCAGCTCTGTTTTGAGTTTTTCGTATTTATTTGAAGCTGGCGGTTTCGTTATGATGTCTCTCACCTCCTTGGCGTATTGTGGTTCCAGGTTCGCAGATACATACGTAAACTTAGTATCGTCCACAGATATCCCTGAGAGCTTAAATTGCATCTCTATCTGGCTAAACCACATTTCTGGGTCCTCTGAGCAGAATGGCGGAATGCGCACACCAACTCTGTAGATTTCTTGAGACATCTTTGGATCTTCTTTTTGGGCCATACCGGATAAATATTCAAATCGCTCAGTACGTATGACTTGGACCACCGGTTAAAAATATTTTGCGTCTACCTTGTTGAACAAAAATGTTATAGCCGAAAACGATAATGGATATGATAATTAATTATAAATATGATCCACTTATCTTCGGTTCTTCTTGCTGTCGAGGGTCACCACTGTAGATGTAGTACTGTAGAAGTAGTTGTATTTGTTCTGCTTCTAACTGTATTAGGTAGGCGCTGACACGAAGGATGGTTTACACAGTGAGTATGAATATGTACTGCTTTAAATAGTTTATTGTAGATAAGTATGTACACAAACAAACTATAACAAGAGTAGTACGGTAAAGAAATAACATACAGGAGTAGTAAAGCACTGACACGAACGATGGGTAGCACAGCAAATATCGATGAGTACTGCCCGCAGTTTTTTAAGATTCTGAAGTGTTGAACAACAATAATAGATGATTGCCTGAATTCATAGGCGACAGCGATTTTGTTGAATTGTAAGGCGGTTGCCCAAGTAGTGGCGAGTAAGTGAGTCGCCACAACGTCACTGTTCAGATAAAGTGTTTGAAGTTAGTGGAGGAACATATCCAATTCTGTGGACCGAATGGTAAACAGTCGACGTCGCCCTAAACGCGTCATTACGGATCCTCCCGATACATTAACGGTGCTTTTAGGTACCTCAAGCACCGGTCATCGTTCTCGTCGAATCCGTCGCTCGCGATGAAGGGCTCGACGAGTAAATTAACCCTCAGACACAGCCCACTGAGTTTCTCGCCGGATCTTCTCAGTGGGTCGCGTTTCCGATCCGGTGGTAGATTTTACGAAGCACGGCTCTTGCTAAGGTCAGTGTTAGCAACACTCCAGTTTGAGCTCCGAGAGCTCACTTACATGTTGGGTGAAGTTGAGATAGCTTCTCAAGGCTATCAGCTTAGGTAAGATTAATGAAGTTTGTAGAAGATACTGCACGCTACTGATCAGGGTTAAGAAATCTACATTGAAAATTAAAAAAGACTTTTCCAATAGCATATTTTATCAAAGTAATGTACAGCACGCAATGTATCACACAACGAACTGAACTGAAGCGTAAGGTCAATGCCCAGCTGCGTCGTGTGACGCGCGAAGCTCGGTTTACTTTCCCTCCGTGCGTCGTATTCCTCAGTGCTGAGGGTCGTGACCTTTACGGAGCACTTTTGTTAGGACTATGTTCCTCCATCCACTCCTGCCCTCCGCGCTGTGGATAGCGACATTGATGCTGGATTCCAAAATTTTGTTAATTTAGGTCAACAAAATAAGGTATATTTATTACTACAATTCATTGCACTCACTGTATGAGACCATTTAATGTTAATCCCTGATAGCCTTTATTATTTTTGAGCTGCGAGCCGAGCCCGTCCACCAGCTGTTTGCTGAGGTCCACGTACTCCTGGCTGCCGGGCGCCGGGCTGCGGAAGCTCTCCGCCAGGCCCGTGAGCCGGACCAGCAGCGTGTACGTCTTCTGTCCGGGGAGCACCGCCTCCGTTGTCGACTCTTCTTCTACTGGTTCTGCAGGAGGAATTAGGAGATGCCTTTGAGTAGTGTGGTTTCGGTCTGGAATAGTCGTAAGTGATTAAGGGGTTCACTGGAGGATGGGCAGTAGCGCCCTCTGAGTATTGTGCATGTGCTGATGGTGGAGTGTATTCTGAGTCCCCGTGGGTAGGTACAATTATCGTGCGTATTTCTGCCGCGAAGTAGTCTCGGGTTTCGATCTAATGGGACAGCCCTTACAGTTGGGACTTGGATCTCATATCTTGTGTTGTGACGTTCATTCCATGTGTCGGGAGTTCGCCCGTCGATACAGAAGCGTTTAGAGACTCACCAGGTCCACAAGGTCTAATGCAGACTTTTTCTTCTGTGACTATGGGGGTTTGGAGATGCTTGCTGATCTTCTTGCTGACAGGATCAAAGTTACCACCTTGCACCACGAACATCAGATACAGGCACTGGGTGTCCGTGAACGCCAGGTCCTGGGAAACGTTTGACACAGTTGAGGAAATTAGTGGAAGCTTAAACCTCTCCGGCTGATCGAGATAGTTGTCGTAATGTACTTGCTATTTGTATTTGTACTTAGTCTGGTTCGCTCTGATCCTCCGCGGCACTCTTAAAGGGGAAGCTTGGTCGTTATCCCAAAGCAATTAAGACTTTGACCCATCAGTACCTAAAACCAGTAGTCTTGTAATGTAAGACATGTTTCACGGGAGAATTTTTACGAAGTTTTTTTCGAGTGGTGAAACTTGTAGAATAGAATTTAGTTTTTTCCTCACGTGTTCGAGAAACATTCGTCGTGAGACTGCTGTAGGACATGGTTTATTGGTGGTAGGACCTCTTGTGAGTCCGCACGGGTACCACCACCCCGCCTACTTCTGCCGTGAAGCAGAAATACGTTTCGGTTTGAAGGGCGGGGCAGCCGTTGTAACTATACTCAGACCTTAGAACTTATATCTCAAGGTGGGTGGCGCATTTACGTTGTAAATGTCTATGAGCTCCAATAACCACTTAACACCAGATGTACTGTGAGCTCGTCCACCCAACTAAACAATAAAAAAAAAGTACAAATGTTCACGGATGGTAGCTAATGAGGGTACTATACCTCCTGGTCCTTGGTGTCGCGCTTCCTGACGAAGCTGAGGGTGGCGACTCCGTCCGCCACCGAGCCGGTGAGCGACGTGACGTCACCGCGGGAGTCGGGCCGGGGTGCGCCGTACCCGCGCGCCCAGGCGTCCTGCACCCACGGCACGCTGGACCGCGGGTCCAGCCCACCCACTATCACATCCGACTGCGACTGTACACACAGACACTCAGTATAGATAACGACTACGCTCATTGAAACTTACATGAACATTGCTATTGAAAACAACACAGTCGGGTCGATCACAAACTTATATCTCAAGGTGGATGGCGAATTTACGTTGTAGATGTCTAACGGCTCCAGTAACCACTTAACGCCAGGTGGGCTGTGAGCTCGTCCACCCATTTACGCAATATAAAAAAAAGCTCACCATCTTTTTGTTATGGCTGAATCCGATGCCGGTCCATTGCTTGGTGTTCTTCGTTTTGATGGTGAACCTGACGGAGTCCTTCCCTCTCTTCAGGCCGAGGTACTCCCACGACGCGAAGTACGTGCACGTGCCGTTGTCGGGGTCGCAGTCAAGCGGCAGCCGCCACTGGCCGCCGCACTTGTCGCCGAGAGGCAAGATCCCTCCCGACACTGAGGTCTTTGTCTCCTCTGTGCGTAAAAAAATAGTCAATAAAAAAAAATCCTCAGGAAAACCCATTTTTTCGGAACGAAGTTCCTTATGGTACGATGCGGATGCGAAGGGGTACCCTAACCGGAAAAAAACGTCCGTAACGTAAAATTTTAATTATTTATGTATAGTCTTAGTATGATGGCTATACAGTGTATAATGTACAGTCTACGTGATGACGGTCATTATTATTATTCATATAAATATCTGTTTCTTTATTAATATTATATTTTTTTTATAAATCATTGTGAATAAAATAAAGTTGATAAGTTTGTAAAGTAGTTTTTTAATCAATAAAAAAATCATAATAAAAAATGTATACCCGAATAATTATTTTCTCTACACCTCGAATAGAACTTAAAATTCATATTTTTGCAACAACGACAACGCAATGAAAAAACAAAAAGGGATGCTGAGAGAGAGTATTAATAGAGTCTGATTGAAAAATCACAAGAACTCACCAAAGAAATTCATCCCCAGGAAGCCACGCTGGTCTCCGTGACCGTGGTACTTGAGCTCATCGGGTCGGTAGAAGTCCTGAGTGACCGCCGTCCCCTGTTCGATCCCCGAGCCGGGCGAGTGCACGTATTTACCCGGCTCTTGACCCCGGGCCCAGATGACGTGCATAATGTCGTCCACTATAGAATGGTCCGTTGGTTCCTTCGCCTGAAATGATATACCAGTTCGAATGTGAATAGGTAAAGGCTACAGGCGCTTTTTACTAAAATATAGGCAGACACTTTCAATGTTGATTCTGGTGCAAAAGTGGAGTTTAGAATGAAAGGAGACGGTAAGAAGCCAACATTCTCTAGGAGCGGGATTCTAGCTTGGGTACTCTAGTCAAGTTCTGGTCATTCTATACTCTCACTAGCAACAAATGGCTGATAATAATTGTCTAAAGATTTACTGTTTCTTTATTTTGGTCATATAACAAGAAAACCCTCTGACAACCTGGAGAGACTCATAGTGATGGGTACGATCCAGAGGTCGGAGCCAAAAAAGATGCAGTGACAAAGTGTCCTTGTATCTGAACACGAGATTGAGCCGCACACTTCACTGTGCCACTGACCAACATAAGTGGCTGCAAATTACAAAAAGATGATCGGCGGGCGCATCACGATGCTCAGCAATGAGCGATCGACTGAAGGAGGAGGAGGAACAATACAAACTTTAACATCTATATATANACGATCCAGATCGGAGCCAAAAAAGATGCAGTGACAAAGTGTCCTTGTATCTGAACACGAGATTGAGCCGCACACTTCACTGTGCCACTGACCAACATAAGTGGCTGCAAATTACAAAAAGATGATCGGCGGGCGCATCACGATGCTCAGCAATGAGCGATCGACTGAAGGAGGAGGAGGAACAATACAAACTTTAACATCTATATATATATATAAATGAATTGCTGTTCGTTAGTCTCGCTAAAACTCGAGAACGGCTGGATCGATTTGGCTAATTTTGGTCTTGAATTATTTGTGGAAGTCCAGAGGAGGTTTAAAAGGTGAATAAATATGAAAATGCTCGGAATTATATAAAAACAAACAATTTTGTTTTTCCTTTGATGTTTCCCCCGTTGGACGGATTCCTTTTGTTTGTTTGTTTTAAGTTTATTTTATACAAAAGTTTACGTTTTTTATTTATCGATTGAGGCATTACGAAGTCTGCCGGGTTAGCTAGTTTTGTACAAAAGACCGGGCACTACACATCATCCCCTACCTTTATCTTCTTTCTGAATAGGATTGTGGTGACTCCATTCTCTTCGTACCCTGAAGCTGCCGTGATGTCGTCGTGACCTCCCCACAATGTGTCTACTCGAGGCGTTGACCTGTTGGAGACATTTCCTTTAAAAGTTAAATTGACATAACATTCTGGAATACCTTTCTATTTAATTTCAAGCAATGTTTTCTAGACACTAAAGATTTTGGACGGATTTGTACCACCAGATCGCCTATTTCTCCTGCGAAGTAGTTATCATTCCGGCTCAAAGATTTGGAGCAGCCGGTTTGTCAATAGGTACATTGAGATTTAGATCTCATTTCTTAGAGCAGATGGTAGCATTTACGTTGTGATGTCCTTTCCACCATGGAAAGGTACCTAATAGAAATTAAGGACCTGAATCCGTTTCATAAATTTTAAAAGCCTCTCATTTGAAATAAGCTTACCTATCTCTCGTGTAATAGTCCATTATCCTGTGATAATTCCCTCTGGCTGTACCGATAACTATGTCAGTGCAGTCCATAGGATTGAAATCGAATTTAGGTACAAACTCGTGTTCAGGGAAATAACCTAAAAAATTATCCAAAAAAATTAGGTTTTAAAAACACAAATTCCTGACTTAATTACTTTAGAGTACTCTAAAATGGCTATCAAAATTCTCGGTATGTGATTTCAGAATATTCGTTTTTGTTTTTCAAGAAACTCGACCTATACTTTGTTCCAAATATTTACTAAAACAAATTTGTTTTGTTTCAAGAATTAGTCACAGAATGGTTAGTTAACTTTAGGAGTGTGAAAACAAGAAAAAACCTACCTCTAATACTTGTGTTGATTAAGAAAACCACATTTAATTAAGAAAAGAAGAAACATAGTTAAAAGAGAGAGTAAGATTTATTCAAAAGAGATTTAATAAAAAAATTGTGAAACCTATTTCCTTAGGCTTCGGTTCAGGAATAACTATTTAAAAGATGGAAAACAGGAAATGAACAGGAAAGATAGCTTAAAGCAAGCACCGCATAGCTGTTTTAGTAATATTAAGCACAAGAATTTAAGTTGATTAAGATAAACATGCATGAGAACATATTATGCATGCAAAGATGACTAGAAATAGTAAAAAGAACGAAAAAAAGATAAAATAGAAGTGTAAAGAGTGAGATTTATTTTAAAAAAGAATAGATGTAAGTTAAGAAATTGTTTTAACATAGACGGATTAAAAAGTAAAATATTTGACGGAAACTTAAATAAACAATTCAATTTCTATTATATCACAAATAATTTTGCATAAATTATATGGTATAAACTAGTTTGTTTTAAATAACTTTTAATAACAATTAGTCACGTAACAATTAATGTTTATTGTGCGTACATCTTGCTATACAAATACATCAATATAAAATAAAAACCGTTTTGGCGTAAACAGATTGAACACGAAATGTTTATAAATCCAAACGTTTTCGAACTATCAATAACAGTTCAATAAATACTAGGTTATTTTAAATCCAATTTGGACAAGTTAGTTCAATTTATTTTTCAACATATATTTTGTTTGCAGACAAAGGACATTCTCAATGTTTGAAAATCCTGTATTCAACAGGATATATATCGCGTGATTCAAATTAACTACTTAGTCAAGTGTTCACAGTTAGCGTCAGCCGTATTATAATTTGATGTTCGTTATGACAAGTTTTCTCTGTTTACACCACAAGGCTTCCAAAGTGCAAAGCTGAGTGCGTTACCTGCTTCTTCTTTAAGTCCCTTTACTAGCAAAGTCTCTGAGGCCGGATCAGCGTTGGGTTCGGAAGATGGCTCAGGTTCAGGTTTAGGTTCGGCAGTAGGTTCTGGCTCGGATTTTGGCTCAGGAGTGGGTTCTGGCTCGGATTTTGGCTCAGGAGTAGGTTCTGGCTCGGATTTAGGTTCAGAAGTAGGTTCGGGTTCAGATTTAGGTTCTGGAATCGGTTCGGGTTCGGATTTTGGTTCTCTGGTCTGTTCGAGTACAGATTTCAGGCCGTGTATAGGCTCTGGCTCGGATTTTGGTTCGGGATTAAGTTTTGGCGAAGACGTGGGTTCAGGTTCTGGTTCAGATGTGGGCTCTGGTTGAAATTTGGGTTCAGTAGTTGGTTCTGACCCGGATTTGAGTTCAGAAGAGGGTTCTGGCTCAGATTTGGGTTCAGAAGTTGACTCTGGCTCGGATTTTGGCTCAGGAGTGGGCTCTGGCTCGGATTTTGGCTCAGGAGTGGGCTCTGGCTCGGATTTTGGCTCAGGAGTGGGCTCTGGCTCGGATTTTGGCTCAGGAGTGGGCTCTGGCTCGGATTTTGGCTCAGGAGTGGGCTCTGGCTCGGATTTTGGCTCAGGAGTGGGCTCTGGCTCAGATTTTGGCTCAGGAGTGGGCTCTGGCTCGGAATTGGGTTCAAAAGTTGTTTCAGATTCTGAGGTAGGCTCAGGTTCCGCCGTTGGCTCAGCGGTAGGCTCAGGAGTGGATTCAGGTACAGAGTATGACCGTGACCGGGATGACTGCAGAATGGGCTGATTTTTAAGCTTATACTTTGGCAATGACTTTGGTTTAAAATTTTGTTCGGTACTTGTCTTAAAAGACGATACTTCAACATCTGTAAAAAAATCATGCAATCATATATTAACGTGTACGCGATACTGTTAGTTAATTCAATGTGTTTAAGTGCTATAATCGCGTAGAGTACTGCAAGGCTTTAATGTTAGTTTTGTGCTCGGGTGTGTGGCGGTTTACTTACTCGTCGGTTCGGTGATGGCTCGTCTTTTACGACCTGCGAACAGTTTTATATTAAGATCCAGGATTGCTATGAATTAATATCCATTTTTTGTTACAGTTTAATAATAACTNTACTGTTAGTTAATTCAATGTGTTTAAGTGCTATAATCGCGTAGAGTACTGCAAGGCTTTAATGTTAGTTTTGTGCTCGGGTGTGTGGCGGTTTACTTACTCGTCGGTTCGGTGATGGCTCGTCTTTTACGACCTGCGAACAGTTTTATATTAAGATCCAGGATTGCTATGAATTAATATCCATTTTTTGTTACAGTTTAATAATAACTGATAGTCAATTTTAATCTTCAGTTAACTACTTTGAGCTCACACTTCGCTGGAATCATTACGTGCAATACGTATTTTAGTTTTAATTATTATTAATTATACATAATTGGGTATTGTTTATTAACGAATCCGTTTTACTATTTTAACCACAATTAACAAGTGAAATTGAAGAACTTCATTTTTTTTATTTTATTCCGTGACCTCACGGTCTTAGCATCAGGTGACTAAGGGCTCAGTGATCACACAAGGGTTATGTTGAGACATTTAGTCGAAAGCTCAGTTGTCCCACTCTTCAAATATAACCGCATGATGGCATAACGGCGGTAATAGACAGGACAGTGGTGTTCAAATTTGCGGGCTCTACAGTACTAATAAACATTGGTGGTAGGACCTCTTGTGAGTCCGCACGGCTAGGTACCACCGCTCTGCCTATTTCTGCCGTGAGCAGTAATACGTCTGCCGTGAGTAATGCGTTTCAGTTTGAAGGGCGGGGCAGCCGTTGTAACTATACTGTGACCTTAGAACTCATATCTCAAGGTGGGTGGCGCATTTACGTTGTAGATGTCTATGGGATCCGATAAAATCGTATTTTGTTAGTTTTTTTAAACTATTATTTAGTTTTCATTTTTTAGTTGAATTTCAAATTTTTTTAGTATTGAATTGTCATCGGTCCTTAATAAGTATGCCAAATTTCGAGTTAATCCGACGTTTTGAAGGGGGTCAAAATAATGTTCAAAGATTCCGTTACATACACACGTCTGAAGCTAATAAAAGCGCATTAAAAAGAACGGTAAGCGTGTGACACAATGTCAGGACTCACCTTTAGAACTGGACACTTGGTACGAGACGCTGGTTTTGACGGTGACGTCACTGCCTAACGTTTTGAAGTCGAGTCCGTCGGCGGTGTGCGTGGCCACGCGCTTGTTCCGGTCGAACTCCGCCGCTTGCGTTGTCGGCTCAAACTCCGGTCCTGGCTTCGTTGGCTCCGGTTCTGGCTCCGGTTCGGGCTCCGGTTCGGGCACCGGTTCGGCTTTCGGTTCCGGCTCGGGAAGTGGTTCTGGATTCGGCGTGCTGGCTGTGTAATAAGGAGGAATACGTTTTCAAAGTTATTGTTCACAGTCCGAGCTTCTTTCTTCAGATGAAATAATGAGACGAAAGGACAAGTGTGAAAACTACCTAACCTCACTAACGAATGCCTGTAAACGCAATATTAAATTCTCCATTGCATCTGCAGGGACAATCTAACTGAGGCTGTTTTGCTTCTCAAGCAGGACGTCACTATTCACAAAAGTACTGTTACGCCGGTAAGAGTAACGCCATCTATCGCCGAATAGTCGAACGATAGCGGAAACACAATACTAGAGATGTGTGGAATATTCTCGATAATTCTAGAGATGAGGTTGCAGGGATGGCACGCAGTCAGTCAGTAATCGGAACTACTCGAAGCGAAACAGCGAAGCGAATTGAGAGTTTTCAAGTGTTTTAAGTATTGAATACAGTTTTTATTTTAAACTTTGGCGGAATTTTATTTATCCCGACCCCAGCGCGTAACAGTACTAAGGACATATCCGTGCGAGCTCACACTACGATATATCATCAGGAATGCCGTCTTCCTTTTAGGTTATAATCTACTTCGAACGGAGCGTGAGATCAGAGTATGCAAGTTCTTGCTGTTGTGTGTTTTGTGTGTGTGCTTTTTTCCGTAATTTCTTCCTGGTTCATTGAAGGAATAATTTCGACTTACGTTTCACGTCACTGGGTGGTCCTAGGACTGGGAAATTCTTGCACTGCTTCGTCAAGCCGCTCGGCCGCCAACCCAAACCTGAATAAATATGCAAATCATCATCATCATCATCAGCCTTTATCTGCCCACTGCTGGACATAGGCAATTATACTCATATATGCAAATATATGAGTATAATTGATAAGAAACGTTGAAAACAAAATTCGGGTAATTTAGCTGTTTGTACAGATTTCGTAATAGAGATATTTTATAAAATTACACAAAATACACTGACAAAATGTGTTTTTAAACGCATTAACGAATTAGTGCTTCGTGATTTTCTTCGGATTTACCCAAAAAGTAAAAGAATAAAACACCGTGTTTATTCACCATGATTATTAAATTTCAAATGATGATTAGACGAAGTTTGTTCATTGGCGCGTTTAAAGCAACATAGACAATTGTCAAGCGGTCTGTGTGCTTAGTGCGAGTTTTTTAACGTTCTCGATAGCGTAAAAGTTAACTCTAATTTGTATGAAGTTGGAGCAGCGCCCCTTGCGGTAAACGTACGCAAACTTTTACGCTATCGAGAACGTAAAAGAACTCGCACTAAGTACACTAATTGCAGTGTGACCTTTTTATGAAGGAAGGATCACTGGTGGCCCGAAGGCCTTTCCAGCTTCACCAGGACAAGCGCAGTGCGACTCCTTACCCGCGTAAGAAGTCCCGTTAACCACCATGACGAACTCTATCTCTGCCTCGTGTTTCAGTATCCTCCAGTAGAGATTGAATTCTTTCGACAACTCCTTCTTACTGTAAAGCTCCAGGTTGACGTTCTTGTCTTTCCACGGCGCTTCTAGAAACCGGAAAGCACGTGTTCAGTGTCGTCACGGTATAGGAACAACGATAAGCACGTGTAGACATGTGCTTGAACATAAATTATATATCGTCTTCGCGCATTAAGAATGTACAATCTCAGAACTTTCTAATTTTTCAGGCGAGTGTTTTAAAGGTTTAACATGTAATATTTTTAATATTAATCATATTTGCAGTTTTTTTATTTATTTGAAAAGCACCCCACGCTTTCTTTACAATAAAATCACTTTTTCTTACACTATTTTAAATTCAAATTTATTAAAACTTATTTTCTCATTTTTAGTTGGATTTTCTATAAAAGCGTATTTTGTTAGTCTTTTTTGAACTATTATTTATTTTTAATTTTTTAGTTGAATTTAAATTTTTTCAACTTTTTTTTAAATTTTTTTTTAAATATTGTATTGTCATCGGTCCTTAATAAGTATACCAAATTTCGAGTTAATCCGGCGTTTTGAAGGGGGTCAAAATCATGTTCAAAGATTCCGTTACATACATACGTCTGAAGCTAATAAAAGCGTATTAAAAAGGATGAGTAATTAGCAGTAGTCGGAGTAGGTAGATTGATTTTATATACTTGCGTCAAGATATTATAATATGGACATGCCATTTTATCCACAAAGATTTTTTTTTTTAATTGAAAAAAAAAATTATTAATCCTCATCGGATACAATTTCTATATTTATGAAATAAAGTAACAAAAAGCCCTGTCTAAGTTTAGTCTCATACTGACAAGCGTCATTTCTAATTCAACAGAAAGGGACAAAATACGGTGTAACTATGCCAAGGTGTTTTTGTATCAAATAAAATACTGATTTCTTTCACCATTAGCTAGCACTGGTAGCGTAGATTAATATCATTAATACGTTTTTCACCTTAAACACAGATTATGCTATTTTCAAAATTGCGGAACAAATGTCACACAATAAATATGAAGTTCCGGTATTTTGGAGGCATATCCATATTATCCTCTACGTTTGACGTCAACGACCTTAAATCAATCTACCTACTCCGACCTCTAGTAATTAGGCTCACTCTTGTTGCACCCCTTCCCGTAGAAGCCGTAGGGGCAGTAGCACATCCTGTGGGGGGCCGCGGTCGAGTCGAGCCGCAGACAGGCCCCGCGCAGGCCGCAGTCGGCGTCCTCCGCGCACTCATCGGCGAACTGGCAGCGCGCGCCGCTGTACGCCTTGTGGCACTTGCAGCGGCCCAGGATGTGGAACCCGTGTCCCGAGCACGTCTCCTGGAACTGCTTGCCTGCACACAATCAACAGTGCTGATAACCTTGAGAGGCTGTTTCAGCTTCTCCTTGACGTGTACGTGAGCTCGCGGGGCTCAAACCGGAGGTGTTGCTAGTTGGCCCTAGTGAGAGCAGTGCTTCCTAGAATCTTCCACCGGATCGGAAACGCGACCCACAGAAGATCCGGCGAGAACCTCAATGGGCTTTGTCTATAGGTTAATTTACTAGTCGAGTCCTTCGTCACAAGCGACGGGTTCGACGAGAACGATGACCGGAACAGTTCGTGTCAACCCTTAAATACATATCGAGAAATAAAAGGCTATTTGGTTTAAGCGACATTTGCAACCTTACAGGAGAGCCATTTAAAGTTTAAAATATCATAACAAAAAAACTAGTTAAGGTGTCTGAATGAAGTTAACTTAATTGAAGTTCAATTAAAAACATCAAACTGTTGATGCTAATAGCAAATAAAACGGACCTTTAGTTACAAAGATAAATGTCGTATATAGAAGATAGAAATGAAATAGTGTATTAGCGCGACCAAGCGAAATGGCTCGACCGATTCATCATCATCATCATCATTCTCCTGTCCCTCTCCCAGTCACCTGGGGTCGGCGCAACATGTTTTCTCCTTCCATACTCTTCTATCATATACCATTTCTTCGCTCACTCCACCTCGGCTCAACCGATTCTCATGAAAATTTATTTGCATATATTATTATGTATATCGGGTCAACATCCATTTTCATACCCCTAAACTTTAAGGGTGGTCCACCCAAAAAAAAAAATATTTCCTAGAAATAATGTATATCGTAAAACAACATTTGCGGAGTCAGCTAGTATATATTTATTTATGTGGGAGTACTTCCCACGCTGGAAAGATCCAATAACCCTTGCATTAGGCGCCTACCGCTCTAACACTAGGAATAGGGACCCCGGTAACCGTACTCGTCGAACTCGACAAAGAGTTCGCCGTGCAACCTAACCCATGCATCAGCCCGCTGAGTTTCTCGCCGGATCTTCTCAGCGGGTCGCGATTCCGATCCGGTAGTAGATTCATTCGCGAAGCAGCTTTTTTTTTATTGGTTATTTGGTTAGACGAGCTCACAGCCCACCAGATGTTAAGTGGTTACTGGAGCCCATGGACATCTACAACGTAAATGCGCCACCCACCTTGAGATATAAATTCTAAGATCTCAGTATAGTTACAACGGCTGCCCCACCCTTCAAACCGAAACGCATTACTGCTTCACGGCAGAAATAGGCAGGGCGGTGGTGCCTACCGGCGCGGACTCACAAGAGGTCCTACCAACAGTAAGTCTCCCTTGGAGGCGCTCGGATACCTGTTAGCAAATCCCACCCCTCCTGGCTGAACCCTTGCTCGCCCATCTGTCCTTATAAAACCATCAATCATAAAACTCACGCTGGACGATGTCGATGTCCGCACACGACCAGAACCTGTAGTTGGCTCCCCACTCGCCGGCCTCCCGCTGTAGCTGAAGCGTGCAGTTCACGCACGTGAAGTCGCTAGGCAGTCTCACTTCATATTTCTGAGCCCTGAAACACAGTTATTGCAATAGATCTTTACAGTTAGAGCAGACGTTCTTCTTTAGTTTAGGAGTTGTTTGGAAATATTTGCACCTGGCTAACAAGACAATTATACCTTTTTTTATTGCTTTAACGGTGAATCAAGGTCAAGGTCTGGTGGTACCTGCCTGTGGGGTTGGTATACCAGTATAGTACGTCGGACGTCTTATTTGTTAAGTGGTTGGTACAAGGTGGGTGTCGGCATTTACGTTGTAAATGTCTATGGGCTCCAGTGACCACTTAACACCAGGTGGGCTTTGAGCTCGTTCACCCATCTCACCCTTCAGACCGAAACGCACTACAGCTTCACGCCAGAAATAGGCAGGGCGGTGGTACCGTGCGGACTCACAAGAGGTCCTACCACCAGTAAAAATCCTTAGACTCGAAATACGTTCCATCGGAATTTACAATGAATAAGACGGATCTAGTGTGGTATACATTGTTTTGTGTCAGACTACTTACGTAGAATCATCTCTAACAAACTCGACGCCGCCAGCGCGAGGCGTCAAATCCAACAGAGGCCTCTCCAGCTCGTCCAGTATCCTCAAGCTAAAACCACCCTGGGAATTACAACGGCAAAGGTTTATATGATGAACCGTACTCGTCGAACTAACCGTACTCGTCGAACTCGACAAAGAGGTCGACGTGCAACCTAACCCATGCATCAGCCCGCTGAGTTTCTCGCCGGATCTTCTCAGCGGGTCGCGATTCCGATCCGGTAGTAGATTCATTCGCGAAACAATTGCTCTTGAGTTGTTAGATCTCCTTCGGAGGCGCTCGGGCAGTTGTTAGCAAATCCCACCCCTCTTGGCTGCGCCTTTGCTCGCCCACCTGTCCTGGTGAAACTGGAAAGGCCTTCGGGCCACCAGTAAAGTTTCAATCATAAAAAAAAAAGGTTTATATGAGTAGTCAATGTGTTTCCCATTATGATTGTTTTTCTAGAGACCAGAGTAAGACTCCGAAGTTTTGATGGTACTGTACATCACATACTGGGAATCATCTAATTTGTATAGATTAGAAACGTCAATTTTTCAATGCCAGTTCTACTGTTCTTTGAGTCTGTTCTTAAAAAAATACAAAAAGGATGCGCCCAACGTGGGGCTCGAACCCACGACCCTGAGATTAAGAGTCTCATGCTCTACCGACTGAGCTAGCCGGGCTTGAGTGTTCAAGATGAAAATATAAAATACTTACTCGATGAGCATACGCCAAATGCCAATGAACTGTAAAAGTTGATCCCGCCAAAAATGAAGTTTTTATACCCCCTGAAACAAATATTGTTTTTTCTGAGTTCTAACAAAAAGTTGCAAGTAGATGTAAGTTTGAAAGTGGATATTATTGGATTGGATATATTGATAATCTTAATAAAAGGCAACAGTATTTTTTAAATAAAACAGGAATACGTATGTATTTGTTTTCCACATTAGTATATAGTCTATTGAATTAATTCCATTCTGAGGTCTGAACAACGCAATCTAGTGACAAGCACCATTCAACTTTAGATGTTTTCTTATTCAAAATTAGATGGCGTTGTCTCTCGAAAAAGTTAAAATTAATCAGCTTAGGTACTAAACAATTTGAATTAATTTACAATATGTATAAAAAGTATTTTTATATTTGGTTATGCATCGCCATAGAACGATTCATCCAAGAATGTCTTTAAAAGATACTAATAAACATGCCGAATTCAATCAAAGCTCCTTGTTTAATAAATTAGCAAAATGATAAACCAAGGAATTGCTATAAAAACCAAAATAACATTTTTTTCATTGCCTCGGAATAATTTAAAAGGCAAAAAATAAGGATAAAGCCGACCGTGACAGGACTCGAACCTGCAATCTTCGGATCCGAAGTCCGACGCCTTATCCATTAGGCCACACGGTCTTAGATTGAGAGTCACTAACATTTAAGCATACTATAGAATTAACACAAAATTTCTCGACCTTAATGTTTTAAAAGAGGCGGCGCTTAATACATTTATGACGATTCGAAATTACATTAAAGAATCTCTGAATCACTTTTTTTTTCATCTATATCATTTTCCCTCCACTTAGTACAGCTCAAATATAAAACACTAAAATCGTAATCGTGAATTCCTCCATTTTTTTCCCTGCCTATGCTAATAGCCTTGAAAGATTATTTAAGCTTCTCCTTGACGAGTAGGCGAGCTCACGAGGCTCAAACCGGGAGCGTTGCTAACACTGACCCTAGCAAGAGCAGTGCTTCGCAGAATCTACCACCGGATCGGAAACGCGACCCACTGAGAAGATCCGGCGAGAAACTCAGTGGGCTGTGTCTATGGGTTAATTCACTCGTCGAGCCCTTCGTCGTAAACGACGGGTTCGGCGAAGACGGTGACCGATGCTTGAGGTACCTAAAAGCACCGTTAATGGATCGGGAGGATCCGTAATGGCGTGTTTTGTGCGACGTCGACTGTTTACCATTCGGGCCACAGGATTGGATATGTTCCTCCACTATCTTCAAACACTTGACATACAGATTTAGAATGGTATCTTTATTCAAATTCCACGCTTATTTCATTACATTCAAGGTTTTAATTATTCAAATTTATTCACGCTTTATCTGAACAGTGACGTAAAGAACCGACAATTGGCAAATTCAGCGCTTTCTTACTAAAACGGTTGGCCGAATCATTTATCAAACTGGGTATGACGTGTGCATCATGAGCATCTATGACAAATTACCAACTTACCAGACGTGAGCTCTTCTGTATTAGATGTGAATACGTAATAATGAAATCAAAAATGACCCCAATGGAAAGTTCTGGAATGTTGTCAAGGGTTTGTGAATCAACACGGGTTCATGAACGTCCAATCAAATATAGATTGGATGAGAAAAATTTACCGCAAACAAAAGATGTGATGTTTATTGCCAATAATACTATCTATCTATCTATATCGTTCCCTCACTGCTGAGGATCGCGACTACATGTAACGTTCATCTAGATCAGTGATTCTCAACCTTTTTTTTGTTGCGGCACATATTTAACGATTTCAAGATTTGGCGGCACACAAAAAAAAAAGATAAAAATTATTTACTTACTACAACACACTGCTTAAATAGTTTATCAAAAAATTTAAATATAATACGAAATAAACTAAAATATACTATAATTTTTTTTTGTGGATTTAAATATATGTTCGTGTTTAAAATATTTTTCTTTTAAAATGATATAATTTAATAATATTAACATTATTATATATTCGCAAAATTTGGCGGCACACTTTTGAAATTTGGCGGCACACAAAATTGCCGCGGAACTGTGGTCAGTGGAGAATCACTGATCTAGATGGTCAAATCTAGTAAGGGAAGCACTAGGTGGTAGTCTGTATCATGCAATCCACGCTGCCCATGACCGACCACTGTGGAAGAACGTCAATAATACACATCATTCCTATTAGTTATTTTAATCATAATAATCACTACAAATACGTATAATAAATAAATACGTAATAAAACAAAGTGTAGTGAGACGAATGGCTGTCTCTCTAAAGAATTTAAAAGAGAAACACAAAAAGAGCGGATTTTCATACGGTTTATAGTGAACGGAGTGATTCCTGTGGAAGGTAATTGGACTATGGTTTTATGTAAATTGGCTGAAATATGAAGATGATTTTGGAAGATTTTTGGAGATCATCACGACAAGAGATGCTATTGATCAAAGCCGCGTATACAAATAATTACAAGAAAACAATGCACGTAATCATACTTCATAAAATTGTCAATAAAACTACCTAACTATTTAAAATATTTAACTACCTAGCTTCTCTATTTAAAACACAGTCAAACTATTGCAACGCTTTTAAAAATATCTTTAAAGAAGCAATTTTTTGGGGTATTTTTCTAGATATTATTACTAAATTAAATTGGTTAATCTTTTTTTACATTTCAACTAAGATAAAGCTGAGTTTATACCAAACAATTCCGATTAGTGGTTTAATTTTTAAAAGTATTTTGTGCGCACCGCTTTGCACGGAAATATGCACTGTTTTTCCCGAGCAAAGTGAGTATTACAACAAAAAGTGTACACTAAATGAATAATATTGTTTATTGAAGTCATAATTCCAAATTCAAGTTAATTTAAAAAATAAAGTCGACGTGCTTATGAATTTACGTACTTCTATTGACACATTGACAAAAAGTAGTGAAATTAAATGTTGTAAAAAATGCAATAGCAATGCCAAAAATTGTTCGCAGCCGGTAGGATTCGAACCTACGCTCCCAGAGGGAATCTGATTTCGAGTCAGACGCCTTAACCACTCGGCCACGACTGCAGGTAGTGTCGTAATCGAAATTACCGATCATTACAATTTATAATATTAATTTCTCATTTATTTCCGTCATCATCCGTGTGCGGGGTTGAATAATAAGAACACAATATAATTTACTACATCAATATTTTAGTGCAGTTAAAAATTCGATACACGGCTCTCATAAATCCAAAATCTTTATAAAATTTATGTTTCAATTAAAAATAATCACCTTCGCAAGTTCATAACCAGATATTTATTTTTCGATACATAAAACACGAAGATACTGAACAACAATTAGCAATTATAGCTCGGTTACAATATCTTTTTTTTTTTTATGATTGAAGGATTACTGGTGGCCCGGACGGCCTTTCCAGTTTCAGTTTTCACCAGGACAGGTGGGCGAGCAAAGGCTCAGCCAGGAGGGGTGGGATTTGCTAACAGCTACCCGAGCGCCTCCGAAGGAGACCTAACAACTCAAGAGCAGCTGCTTCGCGAATGAATCTACTACCGGATCGGAATCGCGACCTGCTGAGAAGATCCGGCGAGAAACTCAGCGAGCTGATTCATGGGTTAGGTTGCACGGCGAACTCTTTGTCGAGTTCGACGAGTACGGTTACCGAGGTCCCTAAGCCTGCTCCTAGTGTTAGAGCTGAAGGCGTCTAATGCAAAGGTTATTGGATCTGATGGATCCGTAAGGACGTGGCGTCGACGGTGACTGGCTCCTGCGTGATCAGGATTCGGGGAGTAGTCAGCGGCGGCAACGATAAGGCGATTATCATGACGCATAGCCTTTTCGAAGTACCGTTCCGACGCTGACTTCATGTATTTCTGGATAGATTCGAGGTACAATATCTCTGGACCTTGCTGGAATATGAAGCCCCTTCCTGTTTCCCTTTCGCCAGGTCCAGAGATAAAGTGACCGAGTTGTACAGTACCATTTGGATTTTCAGGTCTATCCTCACTAAAGGCGTCTGTAGCATGTAGCGTCCGTGTTCAATCATTATCCTAGAGCGCTTCTAAATGGAATAGGCACGCACGGAGGGTAGATTCTGCGAAGCACTGCTCTCGCTAGGGCCAGTGTTAGCAAATTCTCTCAGTTTGAGCCCGTGAGCTCACCTAACCATCCGGGCGTAACTGGAATAGCCTCTTAGTTTACCAGCGAATAGGTATGAAAAAGAGCACATATGAAAGTGCCGAAGCCAGCGCCCCCTGACGCCGTGCTTCCCCACATTGCACCATAACTATACTCGCCTCTGACCAGAGGCAGATTATCCGTAAGGCAAACTAGGCACTTGCCTAGGGGCGCGTAATTACAAGGGACGCGCGTGCTCAGAAATTTTCAATAAATAAAGAAAATAACATATCGACGATAAGAACTACATGCTGATCTATAATCTAAGTCTTCTGTCGCCCCTCTTGATTTCTTCACAATTATAACGTCATATTTCATTCGCGCATTAGCGTAAGTACAAAGATCCTGGTCTACTAAAGTCTAAGGTTGGATGATACAACGTCATCGTAATTGCAAAAACAACTAGTTAAAATTTATAGTATTATGTTGGCCGTTTATGGGCGGTACAGGGGCGCCGATAAAGTGATTGCCTAGGGCGCTCTGGACCTTTAATCCGCCACTGCCTCTGACCCTCACGATTGGGCAGAAAACTTGACATAAAAACTATATTTACTGTTCAATAGTCCCTCTCCCTGACCAGTCATCCGTGACCACGAGGAAAACGATAGAAACTGTGAAAGGAAATTACTAAATAAGTCTTTTAGTCGCCGATCCCTTAGGATTACTTTAAAAGTGAATACATGAATACAGCCTGAGCGTCTAGAATACGAGTTTCAATTTAATAGTTCCCTCAGGATTTGGATAACTAGATTAAATATTATAGTTAAAGAGATAAGAAAAGATTTTCCTTCGTAATTTTTCGGAATTCCATATGAATTGATATATACACATCAGTTCGTACGAAATTCCGTCTTCCAAAATTCCGTGGATGTCTGAATATGGTTATTTTGTCTTTGACATTTCGATTATAGCCATTTTAGTCTAAAACTGCTTGCGGGAATGTTCCAGAAGAACATATTAAAATTCCTAAATAAAGGTCAGTGTTGGAGTTACACTAGGGGGATATCACTGGTGGTAGGACCTCTTGGGAGTCCGCACGGGTAGGTACCACCACTCCGCCCGTTTCCGCCGTGAAGAAGTAATGCGTTTCGGTTCGAAGGGTGGGGGTAGCCGTTGTAACTATACTGAGACCTTAGAACTTATATTTCGAGGTGGGTGGCGCATTTACGTCGTAGATGTCTATGGGCTCCAGTAACCACTTAACACCAGGTGGGCTGTAAGCTCGTCCATCCATCAATGCAACAAAAAAAAAAAAACCCGGGTAGGTAGACATTTCCAAGGATATGCACTTAAAAATAAAATATCTCAAATTACATCTATTTTTAGCACATACTAGCTGACCCGGCAGACTTCGTAGTGCCGCAATCGATAAATAAAAGACCTAAACTTTATTTAATTCCGAAAATGTTTATATTTATCTACCTTTTAAACCTTCTCTGGACTTCGACAAATAATTCAAGACCAAAATTAGCCAAATCGGTCCAGCCGTTCTCGAGTTTTAGCGAGACTAACGAACAGCAATTCATTTTTATATAGGTACTAGCTGACCCGGCAAACGTTGTGTTGCCTTAAATAAGATTTCTAGGGAAATTCTACTGTAGAAAACAAAACCTCATTTAACCACATAATACCTCATTATAAACAAAAAAAAAATATCCAAAAAATAAAAATAAAAAATAAATGTTTGGGGTGGACAACCCGTTTCACTTAGGGGTATGAAAAATAGATAGTAGCCGATTCTCAGACCTACTGAACATACTATTGATACACAAATAAAACCAAAAAAACATGGCTGAAAAATGTATAGTATTGTATAGCTCTCAAATATATTAAGTGTATAATCTATGATGTATAGTGAGTAAGTAAGACAGGAGACCGGCTTCGTCCTCATCCCTACTATGTGATGTTTGCTGGATGAGTGGTGACTCCTGGCGGGGATCGATTGACAGTTGATTAGTAGTAGACCGGCGAGGGCGGGAGATCAAATTCAATTTAAAAAAAAACATAATTAAAGGAACTTGAAATTATAAACTCTGAATAAGAATTTATCGTCCTACAANGTCAGTAATAATATCCAAAACCTGTTTGAACGCTGTGTTTTTAAACTCACCTCTCGGCATTCCACATGGCGGCTTCGTTCGGGAATTATCCAAGAAATCTAGATCGTATTTCCTTGCCGGCGGGTACGTGAGCGCGACGTGTCCTAACACAACCGCTACGCCGCTAAAACACAACAGTAACACCAATTTGCACGCCATCTTTAATTCTTCAACTGACAGTTATTTCAGTCCGCCATTTTGTTTGTTTGAAAGCCGCCGTTTTTTTCTTTCTCTTCGTATTCCTTTTTCTATTAAAATCTGAAACAATAAAATAGATTTGGTTATTAATAAGTTTTTTTTTATATTTACACGTATGGACGGACTTATGACTGACTTGATGGCGCGGTAATTAGCGCCCTAGCTGGTGATTTGCAATCGCGGGTTCGATTTCTACATCGGATAAACATTCATCTGATGAACATGCTTATATGCTTTGTTCGGGTATTCGATATCTACACGTGCATACATAAACTTATGTAAATTAGTAATTAGTTCGCGTAGAGAATTCTAGTTTGTTTAAGTACACTCTCAGTATTCTCCGAGAGCTATGTCCTTCTGGAAACAAAGGTCGAAAATCTTATCTTTTCTTTTTTTATTGCTGATGTAGACAGACGAGCTTACGGCCCACCTAATAGAGCCCACTGAGTTTCTCGCCGGATCTTCTCAGTGGGTCGCGCTTCCGATCCGGTGGTAGATTCTGCGAAGCACTGCTCTTGCTAGGGCGGTGTTAGCAATTCTCCGGTTTGAGCCCCGCGAGCTCACCTACACAAGCTAGGGTACGCTGAAGTAGCCTCTCAAGGCTATCAGCATAGGTAGGAAAAAAAAAAAAAAAAAAAAAAAAAACCTAATGGTGGGCGATTACCGTCGCCCATGGACTTCAGCAATGCCACCGTTAAGTAAGTACTCTCCACAAGTCTCGTTTGAAGAAGGATATGTCATTGAGCTCGGGAAAGACCGTGGAGGGAAGTTCATTCCAAAGCCGGACGGTACGTGGCAAAAAAGATCTCTGGAAGCGCACTGTGATAATCTAACTTAATTTAATCAACTGGGCTAGACCACGGCCCTGGACATTTATGGGTGTTTATTGATGATCATTCTGGGTTTTGTTTTAGTAAATTACAACGCATGATAATAATCTAAATAAAAAAGGAAGCAGCTAATCTTTTGTATGCGTATTGTTTGAGTGGGACTCACATTGTGTGCAACGGAGCGTTTTGAACTAGGATATGGTAGATATCTTAAGTCTCCGGCTGGTTAGGAAGCCAACTTTGATTTACGACCGAATTATTCCTCTGAATTATTTGTTGTATTTTGTTGTATTATTTGTTATATTTTCGCATTGCCGAAGTCCATGGGCGACGGTAACCACTCACTATCATTCGGGCCGGTGCTCGTCTGCCTACAAGGGCAATAAAAAAATCACTTAACAATTATCTTCATCTTAATAAATTCATGACGATTCCGCTAACTTTTACAACAGCATTAGCCGAACCCTAACAAGCTTTAATTTTTTTTACCCCTTGACTACAAATTTCTAAAGTCACTTTTACTATAAATAGGATCTAAGTATAAAATAGAGTCAACGACTGTAACCACGTTATATATTAGTTTACTAAATTCATTAACAATTTTCCTTGAAAAACACTTCCTCGATTGAATTTCCTCAATTATTAATCAAGCAAAAATTGTCATGCTCACGGATAAAAACAATATAAATAAATGCGCTAATCACATTTGCAGGTTGTCAAACAATTCTCAACCTTAAACGCTTTTTCTTTAAGAACACTCGACAATTCACTTGTTGATGTTCTATTCGATCACAAACTTATCCAATACTATTCTTCACCTAATCAAAAATAAAGGATAGTCTCATCTGTGAAAAGATCTAAATATTTTAACTCTTAAATCAATGCTAATAGAGCCTATTTATTCTCATAGCGTTAAAGTTTACGTAATGAAATACAAAGTTTCAAGATATCTTGGCGCGTTAGAATAATGAACCTTATATCATGATAGGAGAGGATACAGTGACTGCATTAGATTTCAGATTTAACGTATGTATTGCCTTAGGTTGATTGAAATAATATGTTTTTTTATTTGCATTTGTCCGTGAAGTTTTTATTGTGGAATAGATTCGTTATTGACTAATAAAGACGAATATTACCTACACCTGCTTTCACTGGTTTGTTGTGGTCGCCCCGTGATTGAAATTCGACCTTATTTAATTGAAATTATAAGTTTGAATATATTAATATTATAATTCTATTGTCACATTTCTATAGTAACCATTACTTTATTAATCAATGTTCTTTAGTCATAGAATTCGCCAAGGCTACACTATGGACAAATAATTTAAAGCCAAACAATATTAATCTATTCTCAATTTGACCACAGGCTTTAATAATAATTAAAATGTATAAATGCGTGTGTATGTCAAATACATGGTAGTGTGTGTTAATGTTTTTTTAATTGATTTATTGTATTTTATGCATATTTGGCGAGGTTGCGTTTTTTAATATTTTACAGTTTTCATAGACTCGGATAACAAAAGACTTTTTAATTTCTCCTAAATTAGAAACATTAGATTGTATTGTCTTATAAAATCACTGAAATGGTAAACGAAAACTGCAAATTATTGCGATAAAGACTATAATATCAGTGATATTGAGCCATTAAAAACAGTGAAACAGAGAAACAGATAATTACCGCTATAAAAAATCGATTTTAGATTGTTATTCGATTCCTCTCGATTGTAATCGCGTGTCGTAATCGATGTTCCGAAACGAATCGATACGGAATGGCGTAAGAGAGATGTTCTCTTTTACGCAACTAGGTAATTAATAATTATATTTCATATTAATAAATACTATTTTATTTTACTAACGTAAATTTATTTAATGTTTATTGGTCAATCTTCTTCAATATTTATTTTGTTTAGTTAACTGTATGCATTAAGTGAACTGAAAGTCTGCGTATATGTATCTATGATCAAATATTAAGTGTATTATCTACGGTAGGATTAGTACGGAACGTATGGGACTTTTTGGCGGGAACGCAAGGAGTGAATATATGTGATTTGTTTCATTTTGTTTATGTAGTGTTTCTTCAGGTTTGAATGTGTAATAACGGTGGTTTATTAACTGTCTAATATCTGTGCACAAATGTGGGAAAATGAAACAAAACCTCTGGTCGTAGCTTCTCAGGATCCTCCAAAAAGTCCACTGAAAAAATCTCAGTAAATGACCACCATTTTACTGAGATTATATTTCATCTCATATCATCTCATCTCATTTAATTTAATTTCTTCCTAGTTGATTAATGTCTCAAATTAATCATCTTCATTTCATTTCATTTCACTCCATATTATCATTTTTCATAAAAATAAGAATATAAATTAATATAAGACTTGACCTAAAGGTCTTAGTAACCAGGTTATAAAATACCTTAAAAAACAAAAAAAAGGAACGTATGAAAAGAGTGAAACGGAGCGTTGAGATGTGAGCGAGAGATAACGGTAAGAAAGAGAAAAGAAAAAGGTTGAGGTGTCAGGAAATTTTTAATTAAATTAATACAGAAGATTTTAAAAAAGTGCAAGAGTGGGATAGATTTATTTTATACGCCACGATCCGAAATGTATATCTATATTATTCGTTAAAAGTATTATAATTTAAACTAAACTCTTAGTTTCTGAAGTAGTCTTTAATTACGCATTTAATTCTTTAATTAATTCGCATGTCAAATAATGGCAAAGCATACACGCTGCTTTTAACTTTATATGTAATAACTCATTTTCACTATGCTTGGCGAATAAATGATTTCTTTCTTTCTTTCTTTCTTACATTACAATTCTTTATTTAAACTGGTTTTAATTGTTCATATGTTGTACGTATTATGTTTAACTATAGAATTGTTTTCGACACGGGCTATCAAATAGCCAACGCGTGCCATAAAACTGTGTTTAGTACTGTAGGCTTAGTGCGAGTTTTTTAACGTTCTCGACAGCGTAAAAGTTAGCTCATATTTGAGTCGTCTATTATCAAAGGTAGCAATCTGTGCATTTGGACAAAATTTTTTATTGATATGTCAATACAGATTGATTTGAATATAATCGTCTCCTTCAAAGAATACGGTTCAAAACCTGCATTAAATAAAGGTTAATAGTTAACCTGTTATTTATCTAAGATGTCGTTCCGAAGAGTTTTGTGACTGCCGATGGAATACAAAGTCAATAATTCGTTTTTCTGATTTACATTGTCCAAAAGTCAGATTGCCGCCTTTGATAATAGTCGACTTATTTGTATGGAATAGGATCGTTTGCGTACGTTTGCCGCTAGGGGCGCTGTTCCAACTGCATACAAAATTGGGTTAACTTTTACGCTATCGAGAACGTTAAAAAACTCGCACTAAGCACACTGTATTTTGTACTGTCAGATTTTCCTCTACTAACGCTCGCGCTACAAAAACTGAAGAAAGAAACTTAAGTTACTACCACAAAAATTACAATAATATTAAAGAATATTTACCGAATGGATTACCGCTCAGCTGACCGACAAAATCAAAATCTTCCTCTCGTCTTACGCCATTAAAAAATAATTGGTAAGACAGTAAGTTGAATTCATTACCGTAATGCGTGAATTTCACCTTAATTTTATTTACACAGACGCACTTTCGTTTTTAAAAAGTCAACAAACCGTGATGAATTCCTGCTCGCTCTGTGACTGACTACACGATGTATATATAATCTATGGCACACACGTACACGCGCCTTCGCAATGGACATCGCTTTCAAAAACAGTAAAAACTTGGTATGTACATAGGTATGTGTTTAAAAGTTAATATTATTTGCGGGCTAAATCACTGGAACATCTTACAGGCGATACCGAAAATCGAGCTATATTTTTTTTCCTACTTTTTTTTATTGCTTAGATGGGTGGACGAGCTCACAGCCCACCTGGTGTTAAATGGTTACTGAAGCCCATAGACATCTACAATGTAAATCCGCCACCCACCTTAAGATATAAGTTCTAAGGTCTCAGTATAGTTACAACAGCTGCCCCACCCTTCGAACCGAAACGCAGTACTGCTTCACGGCAGAAATAGGCGGGGTGGTGGTACCTACCCGTGCGGACTCACAAGAGTTCCTACTACCAGTAATTACGCAAATTAAAATTTGGCGGGTTTGATTTTTATTACACAATGTTATTCCTTGACCGTGGAAGTCAATCGTGAACATTTGTTAAGTACGTATTTCGTTAGAA